TGAAGGGGGCAAATGAAAGGAGAGGAAGGGAAATGAAAAGGGGGAATGAAGGGGAAATTCACCGCACATGAAGGGGGCATTCATGGGAAGTGCAATGTCGGTGGACTCAGCCGGAGGCTCTAAAGTCAGAATGTCTTCAGCACCCAGCGTCAGTCCATTGATCTTGCGATCGAAGAAGGTACATGGTCACGTAGATTGGCCTTGCAAGGCATTCAATGACACGTGAGTGACTAAAATCCATCGGCGTTTGAACGATCCATTGACGTTTGTTCTACGGTGATAAATTACAAGGCTGAGACCCAATCCTGAAGCCTGGTGAACCATGTCCAGTCATAAGTGCTGGGCGGGTGGGTGCCAATTTCGTTGAGCTTGACCTCTGGAATAACTCCACGTGCTGGCCTGGAGCTGAAGTCGGAGGCTTGGATTGTGCCCAGTGCTAGCCGCTAGTGTCCAAGATGCTTTGAGCCATACTCTGGAAGGAGCCGGTTGTCTCCCATGCAGGACACCCTTTTGCTACATTCGGAAAAAGGATGTCACCATGTTTCACCATGTTTCACCATGTCACCTTGGCCAACTTTGAAGCCTTCGAAAGTCGCGTCTGGGGCACAGGCACCCTCCAACCGATGGCATCCACGAACTGCGCGATGCACCAGAAGCCTCAAGGGTTCGACCCGACGTGGCAAGCAATAGGAATAGGGGGAATAGGCAAGCGCCGAAAGTGAAGGTGCGCCCGGGCTTGAAGTCCAGCCCGCTCAACGCCTCCCCCGCTTGAACCGCTTCAAGTTGCGCTCAAGTCGGTTCGCAACAAACAGGGCGAGAAAGAACCGCAACCCAGACTCGAAACTATCCGACAGCCAAAGCTTAACCTTGCGCTTCCGCTGAACATTTAAATTGGCTGACTAAGGGCTTCGTAGAACCCGCGGCAACACTAAACTCTTTTGCTCAACCATACCCAACATTCGCTCACCTGGATGCGCTGCTTAAGCCGCTGGCTCAGCCGTGCGACCCCAAAGCGCAAGCACTGACTGCTGTTGCCTAGACTGCAATCCAGTGCTAGCTCCTGTGAATCGACAGGGCTTTGCCACTAGACATATCGCAATTGTATTGTATACAAAATCTTCTGTTTTAACCTGCTCGTTGGTGTGTTGCGCCATGTGGCTATGTGTTGTCGCACGCGTCGCGAGATCTCGCCGGCCTGCTGCATCGCTTTCCGGTCTTTGGCACGCACTATGCCGTAGGTGGAGAAGTCCGGGTCCTCGGTTTCGCCGATTCACAATGAGCACGTGAGCGCATATGGACACAGCTCACCCATCTTCAATGTTTCTTCGTGTCGAAAGAGAGCACAATTCCGCATACGCAGGACTTGAATTCACAAGCAGTGATGTGCAATTCGTGCAACTGCAGACTGCAGGCCTAGACTGCCCAACGCTCCACCATGCAAGTCTGACTTTCCTTTGCAACTTCTAGGCAAATCTTCTGGAACGTTCGAAGTCAGGACTTGCGCTGCCTCACCACCAACACCGTCAGGATCCCACGAGGCGGGGAACAAAAACTATCAACATGGGCAGGAAATGTGAATGACACGGCATGGCGTTGCTTCGCACGTCGCCCCGGGCAAGCCCTAACTGCCTTGTGACTCTCATGCATTCTCAATGCAGCTTGCAAAGGTCCCGCAGGGAGCTCAAGGATTCAGGCACAGGTGCTTCCGCAGGCTTGGTTCGGACTCGCTGCGCTGCGGCCCGGAGACGTTCACGGCCATGGGCTTGGCCGATATACTCCACACCAAACGCAGGCCAAGCACAGGCCAAACAACACTCACCACTTGCGCCGTGACAATTCACGGAGTCACTGAGCCCAAGGAAGGTGTTTTTCACGCGAAGGGACGCAGGCGGGAGCGATTCCAGAATGCGAGCGTCGTCCTTCGAACTTGAATTGCGTAGCTCCTCGTTGCCATGAGCATTCTTGCATAATTCTTGCATATACTTGCAATTGCCGCCCTTGAAGCGCACCTGTGAAACTTGGAGCAAAGACTTGTCTTGCAAAGATCAGGAGCTTGCAATTCTGACTACCAGTGTTTTGCACGCGTGATCAGGATTGCCAGGTTACTTGTGGGCGGTTGAGAAGTGCTTAAAAAAGCGTAGCTGAAACAAAAGAAACTATTCGCTGGTACAGCAATAGTCTAAGAGTAAGACTTCTCAAAAGCACATACGTCGTTGGGGCAATGCTCCCGTGACCATGACAAGCCCTTGAGAGGGCACGCTTTGGCTTTTCCTCCTGCCATGAACAGCACTTGAGCGGTGCCCTCATCACTTTTGGCTGTGCTTCTCTGACCACGACAGCCGCGCTTTTCATATAGCGGCGGTGTTCCCTGACCTGCGGGTGCGCTATCACGTTGGCGATGTTCCCCCGACCATGACACGGTGGCGTTTGTGCCGCTACACATAAACAAACATATGTACATACTCATACACATACACGCAAACACACCGCAGACGTTTCCACACTCTGGAAGAATTTGCACATTTGGACGCGCGTTTGAGCAAGTTCAGCTGCTTTTCCATCTCCTTTGCTTGAGCCAAAACAGCACTTTGCTGACCCGGATCCGACCTTCGCTCTTGGGTCCAGGGCATTCAGCTTCGGCGGCTGCTGGCCCTCCTCTGTGACAATGAGCTGATCCATCACCTTCGGCCGGGGAGGGCGGCCGCGTGATCTCGAGATCTCGGTCCGCGACCCAGAGTGGAAAGCAAACGTGGGGCCGCTCCGACTCGCCCTGCACAGACCTGGGGCCACAAAGATGACAAAGGTCACATCAAGCAACCCTTGTGTGAGAAGGAATGCGAATGGCTCAATTTACGCGCAGCACATCAAATATTTGTGGGATCAACGTACGGAGATGATGGGCATTCCCCAGACCAAACAAGTGTGATCAAAACTCAAGTCGAGTGATTTGATATACTATTGGAAGCAACTTGCTCATGCTTAGCGAGGTTCTCAAAGTGCCGAAAGTGCTGATACAACCAAGGCCAGGCGCCAGCAATGCAAGTAATCCAGAAACGAGGGCAGCACGCGGGATCCTCGCCGTGAGATTGATACCTTGACCAAACACGACTTCAGAAGCAAGGGAACTCAGCGCCTCCATAACAAGCCGGTGAGGCATGTTGTCAGCAGATGCGTGCCTGGCTGCCGCACATGTGAACAGACTGGTTTGTTTCATGCGTCACTTGGCGTGATCAAACTTCAGCACATGATGCACATGTGTTGCATCACGGACACACAGCAAGCAATCGTCCAAGCCTCAAGAGTGCAATCACTGAGCTTGAGATGTATCTCTCGACCTTAGCCCCGCAATAGTTTTCAGCCACTGTTTGTGTGTGCCACGGAAAGTCTTAGGTTTTTAACTTGTAGAGAGGGTGGCGCAAGACTTGGGCAGCCATGCTGGGTGCTGGAAGTAAGGTGCTATGTAGGGTAAATGCGGTGTGGAGAGTCTGGCTGTGAGTCGCGCAGGGTCGGGCGTTGAAGTTTCTATTCATGTGCTGTTTTTTCCAGTTTCTATCGCTGAGGTCATCTCTGTCCCAACCGGATAGTAGCGGTCCTGCTCACATCCGAAGAACACGTTCTCCGCGGGCACCTCTGCGGAATCGAGGGAAGAACCCTCGCTTGCGCCCCCCACACCCCCCTCCCGCGGCTCAAGCGAGTCCCGAACCGAGTCTCGGAAGTGCAGCTGCAAGCGGAACTCCCACAAGCGCTTCCTCGAGATGCGCGGTGCTCGTGTCGACTTGTCTCGACTGATTGGAAGTGCTCCTGTGATGCAAGTGCTCTGCAAAAGGGTAGTTGCCGCTCGCCATCTTGTCTGGCTCCTGGGCGAGGAGCCTTCCAATAAGCTAAGCCATGAATTGAGACTGGAGCCTGTGTTGGTTTGTGAACACCTCGGGTGGCATTCTGAACACGGATTGCTCTTGAGATCTCTTGAGCCGCCCGCAAAGCCACGAGCCGTGACAAATGCCGCTGTCAAACTCCACGGGATCCGTGCAATCAGAACCTCAAGTCACTTGACCATCCTCTGTGCCTCTCCGAATGTCCGAAATTGTCCGAATTGTCCGAATGCAACAGCCGTGCCCCGAAGGCCTCCTGAAGCACAGCTCTCGGCGCGCGACGCGAAGGCTGGCCCAGCGGCGCGCATGGAGCGGCATTGGACAGCACGAGGTGCGCAGACTGACAGCCGCACGTTGCATACGTTGCATACGTTGCATACGTTGCATACGTTGCATACACCTTGCATTTCTGTTGCATTTCTGCTGCCTCATTGTCTGGAGGAGGAGTCTCGCTCAGTGGCTCCTCAGCCTGGAGAAGGTGAGTCTGGCCTTGCCGAGCTCCCGGTCCCAGCCTCTGATTTCCTCATCTTCCGGATCAGGCTGACACAGGCCCAAATGGCCAGGATGGCGGCCTCAGTCCAGCACGGAAGCACTCGGACATGCACACCGGGGAAAAAACGGCCATAGGATGCTAATGCTATCGGCTGTGCTTACTTCGACACTTGGGAGCCTCCAGCATCACCAAAAGTGAGCACCAAGGAAGCCACCTGGCGGTCGATGGCTTTGAATAACATCGGGTCAGACGCGAGGACACGAGGCTCGGACCATGGGGATTCGGCGGATTGTGGAAGCGCCATGGCTTGATCCGTCTCTCAAGGTTGAGTCCAACGAATCCTAATCATGAAAGGGCGAGCTTACGTCTGTTTAGACTCTGCCTCCACTTGAGCTTTTCCTGTTGAGCCCATGTCATAGAGAGAGCAAGGAACGACCGAAACGGACCCCAAGCAAAAGGAACAGGCGATTTGCTTTGGCGCACAGGTTGGCCTCGGACACAGCCAAGACAGCAAAGTGCAACGTGATGTGAGCAATGGGCCCAGACTCGAGACCTGGGCCAAATGTGTGACTTTGAAGGTCCATTGGATGCAAGATACAAGACACTGAATGGCATTGAATCCGCAATGTCCTTGCCTGCGGTACAGGCGGCTCATCATCCTGTTCTCTTCCTCAGAGACAAGATGTCCAGAATCGCCTGACCATGTAAGGCGCCCACTTCTTCTCGGCGCCTGCACGATTCTTTCCCACATACGCGGTTCCCCAAGCGTCCCGAGTCCCTTTGCGAGACTCGCCTGGATCGCTGGCCTTGCGCCTCGCAGTCTCCCCGGCGCCCCGGTCTTCGCCCGCGCAGTGCTCGAGGCCGCGGCTGGGTTCCGAGGGCACGGAGTCAGTTGGAGGCGGCACGGAGATCGTTGAGGCGGTGGCAGTGCCCTTGCGCGGCACAGTCTACGCACATCTGCGCACATCTACGCTCTCCCATGTCTCTCTCATGCATCCTGTGTGATGGATCGCAGCGAGTTGGTTGGCACGGGCAGGGAGTCCGTAGGCACCACTGTGGGCGTCTGCGCTCCGGTCAGCGCCGGGGTACGACCTCGGCACTCAACGCCTCAACTCGTCATCAACGAGCCCGATCCCACCTCCTGGAAGCGGCGACTCCCCCAGCGTCTCCGGGAGCGCGCTGTCCCTGAGTCCGAAACGTTCGATGATTCAGAAAAAGACGAGCCCAACGAGCCCACCCTGCACCCGACACAGGTGCGGCATCCTGGCATGGCACATGCACCAAACACAGAGAGGCAAAACACCGACCTCATGCGTTGGGCTTGCGGTCGGCGGGGCACTGGGGAAGCTCGCGCTGACAGGCGCACTTGCACCATCAGGCCTGGGACCACTCCGCGCAGCAACCCCACAAAGTACAAAGTGCAGCCCCCGACGGGATCGACTGGCCTGAAAGTCTGAAATTCTGCAAGTCTTGTCTGAACGGATCTCAAAGATCAATCTACAGCGCTCCTGGCTGTGCCAAGAGCTGCATGTTTGCTTGTACCTCCGGTGAGGCTTGAGGTACCAACGAGTGCGGGACATTGCGACGCGCCTGGTTTGTCCAGGCTTGGGCACCAATGAACTGTGCCAGCTGCATCTGTGATGATGCAGCCACAGACCTTCAGCATGCGACAGCAACAAAAAAACGCAAAGAAGCGATAAAAGCTGAGGGAGGCCACGAACAAAAGACCAAAGCCACTACCATACAAGTCAAATCGTAGCATAGTCAAAAAATCGTAGAACGCGGGTAGAATTTCCCGCAATCGCGAAGGGCTCTTCCGTGCGGAGCCCGTGGATTACACAGAGTGACACAGAACCAAGTTGCACAGAGCCAACTTGCACAGAGTCAAGTCACGCTGTATTATACAGTCAAGTCACGCAAAGCCAAGTGCATAGAGCCAAGTACAAAGAGTCAAGTCACGTAGAGCCAAGTGTGTAGTGTGAAGTGCGTAAAGCAAGAGGCTCGGCGTCAAGCTGTGAAAGTGAACACGCGTAAAAGAAAGAAAGAAAGAAAGAAAGAAAGAAAGAAAGAAAGAAAGAAAGAAAGAAAGAAAGAAAGAAAGAAAGAAAGAAAGAAAGAATAAGCTCTGGCGATATCCCCAACAGCGCCACACCCTCCAGAACCGTCGCGGAACCCTCCTGGAACCCTCCTTGGAACCGCCCTATGAACCTTGCACCCTCGCGGAACCCGTGCAGAACTCTCGCAGAATTCTCGTGGACAGAGCCGCCCCAGACCACCCCGGAGCCCATCTGGGCAGAGACCCCGTCGCTGTCAGCTGTTGGGGAAAAGCAGTTGCCGCATGAACTGGAGACTCTTCCGGCACAGTGAAGGGCCATGGAAACATGTCCTGAAATAGGTGTCCAACAAGCTGCTTTTCATGCGCTTCCGAAGCTATTCTCTGGACACCCCGTTGAAAGAAAGACTGCGGTTACATGCTTCTGTTCTTGAGGTTCGAGACTAGCGAAAGACTTGACAGTGAAGACCTTCAGACAAGCCACAAATCCAAGCCACCAGTCATAGCGCGCCGCTTTTGCCTGGGACGCCGCTTTAACTGAAAAAAGGTGCGCCGACGGGCCCTGATCGTGGCCTGACGGGCCCGATCGGGGCCTGACAGCGCCATCGGGCCCCGATCGGGGCCCGATCGGGGCCCGACCGGTCCAAGCCACCAGTCACAGCGCGCCGCCGGTTTTGCTTTAGACGCTGCTTTACACCACGCTGCAATCGGTGTTCGACCGGGGCCCGGGAGCAAACCATCAATCCAAGCCACCAATCACAGCGCACAGCCGGTCTTGCTTAGGATGTAAACCCTCCTCGTGGAACCCTCGTAAAACTGCGCTGTGGAAATCTTGTGAAGTCCGTCTTGTGGAACCCTTTTGGAACCCTGTGCCCGCAGCCTTCGTGGAGGAGCTTGGAACCCAAAGCCCACCGGGCCCTGTGGGCAAGTGTATGCAGTGAAGTGTGCTGAAAACCATTGGTTTTCGGTTTTGCTTAGTGTTCAAACTCTGATAGAACCCTAGTTGAACCCTCGTGGAACCTTACCCCAATCCCGCCCCGGATCACCCCGCAGCCCTTGCAGAACTCATGGAACTTTGGTGGAACCCGCTGGATTTCTGGTGGAACTCTGGTAGAACCCTGTGGTGGAACTCTGGTCTCTCGTGGAAGGGCTCAAACCATTGACTTTCGGTTTTGCTTAGTGTTCCGCCCATGAGCAAACCCTCGCTGGTGGAACCCTAGTTGAACCCTCGTGGAACCTTACCCCAATCCCCCCCCGGACAACGCCGCAGCCCTTGCCAAGGGCTAAGGTTCCACAGAGTTCCACAGCGTTCCACAAGGGTCCACCGTGAGGGTTCCACCACACCCCGAGGTTCGTAATGTTCCACAAAACAAGGGTCACGAGGGTTCCACGAGAGGGCTATGGGGTGTGAGGCAAGGTTCTACAGGGTTGTTCTACAAGGGTTCCCACACAGTTCTACAAGGGTCTTGCACTGGGTTTCACGAGGAAGGGGTCCACGAGGCTGAGGTTCTACAAGGCTCCACAGTTCCACAAGGGCTCCACAAATGTTCAACAAAGGTTCCACAAGGGTTCCACGGTTTGCTGTGGCGGCAAAACCTAACGTTTTCAAGACACGGCCCAAAACAATAGGTGTCCGAAAGTATGTGGTTTTGGGCAAAACCCCAGTTTGGGACACCTAAAAAAATTGGTCTTCAAGGCACGGCCCAAAGCAATAGGTGTCCGAAAGCATGTGGTTTGGGGTGGGCAAACCCCCAGTTTGGGTATGTGGTTTGGGGTGGGCAAACCCCCAGTTTGGGACGCATAAAAAAGTGGTTTTCAAGACACGGCCAAAAACAATGTGTCCGAAAGTATTTGGTTTGGGGTGGGCACAACCCCCAGTTTAAAAAAAGTGGTTTCAAGACACGGCCCAAAACAATAGGTGTCCGAAAGTATGTGGCTTGGGGCGGGCAAACCCCCAGTTTGGGACACCTAAAAAAAGTGGTTTTCAAGACACGGCCCAAAACAATAGGTGTCCGAAAGTATGTGGTTTGGGGCGGGCAAACCCCCAGTTTGGGACACCTAAAACAAAGTGGTTTTCAAGACACGGCCCAAAACAATAGGTGTCCGGAAGTATGTGGTTTGGGGCGGGCAAACCCCCAGTTTGGGACACGTAAAAACAGCGGTTTTCAAGACACGGCCCAAAACAATAGGTGTCCGAAAGTATGTGGTTTGGGGGTGGGCAAACCAGTTTGGGACACCTAAAAAAGTGGTTTTCAAGACACGGCCCAAAACAATAGGTGTCCGAAAGTATGTGGTTTGGGGCGGGCAAACCCCCCGTCTAAGACACATAAAACAAAGTGGTTTTCAAGACACGGCCCAAAACAATAGGTGTCCGAAAGTATGTGGTTTGGGGGTGGGCAAACCCCCAGTTTGGGACACCTAAAAAACTGGTTTTCAAGACACGGCCCAAAACAATAGGTGTCCGGAAGTATGTGGTTTGGGGCGGGCAAACCCCCAGTTTGGGACACGTAAAAACAGTGGTTTTCAAAACAATAGGTGTCCGAAAGTATGTGGTTTGGGGGTGGGCAAACCAGTTTGGGACACCTAAAAAAGTGGTTTTCAAGACACGGCCCAAAACAATGGGTGTCCGGAAGTATGTGGTTTGGGGCAGGCAAACCCTTAGTTTGGGACACGTAAAAACAGTGGTTTTCAAGACACGGCCCAAAACAATAGGTGTCCGAAAGTATGTGGTTTGGGGGTGGGCAAACCAGTTTGGGACACCTAAAAAAGTGGTTTTCAAGACACGGCCCAAAACAATAGGTGTCCGAAAGTATGTGGTTTGGGTTTGGGGCACCTAAAAAAGTGGTTTTCAAGACACGGCCCAAAACAATAGGTGTCCGGAAGTATGTGGTTTGGGGCGGGCAAACCCCCAGTTTGGGACACGCAAAAACACTGGTTTTCAAGACACGGCCCAAAACAATAGGTGTCCGAAAGTATGTGGTTTGGGGGTGGGCAAACCAGTTTGGGACACCTAAAAAAATGGTTTTCAAGACACGGCCCAAAACAATAGGTGTCTGAAAGTATGTGGTTTGGGGGGGGCAAACCAGTTTGGGACACCACAAAAAGTGGTTTTCAAGACACGGCCCAAAACAATAGGTGTCCGGAAGTATGTGGTTTGGGGCGGGCAAACCCCCAGTTTGGGACACGTAAAAACAGTGGTTTTCAAGACACGGCCCAAAACAATAGGTGTCCGAAAGTATGTGGTTTGGGGGTGGGCAAACCAGTTTGGGACACCTAAAAAAGTGGTTTTCAAGACACGGCCCAAAACAATAGGTGTCCGGAAGTATGTGGTTTGGGGCGGGCAAACCCCCAGTTCGGGACACGTAAAAACAGTGGTTGTCAAGACACGGCCCAAAACAATAGGTGTCCGAAAGTATGCGGTTTGGGGGTGGGCAAACCAGTTTGGGACACTTCAAAAATTGGTTTTCAAGACACGGCCCAAAACAATAGGTGTCCGAAAGTATGTGGTTTGGGGGTGGGCAAACCAGTTTGGTTTTCAAGACACGGCCCAAAACAATAGGTGTCCGGAAGTATGTGGTTTGGGGCGGGCAAACCCCCAGTTTGGGACACGTAAAAACAGTGGTTTTCAAGACACGGCCCAAAACAATAGGTGTCCGAAAGTATGTGGTTTGGGGGTGGGCAAACCAGTTTGGGACACCTAAAAAAGTGGTTTTCAAGACACGGCCCAAAACAATAGGTGTCCGAAAGTATGTGGTTTGGGGCAGGCAAACCCCCAGTTTGGGACACGTAAAAAAGTGGTTTTCAAGACACGGCCCAAAACAATAGGTGTCCGAAAGTATGTGGTTATGTGGTTTGGGGGTGGGCAAACCAGTTTGGGACACCTAAAAAAGTGGTTTTCAAGACACGGCCCAAAACAATAGGTGTTCGGAAGTATGTGGTTTGGGGGTGGGCAAACCAGTTTGGGACACCTAAAAAAGTGGTTTTCAAGACACGGCCCAAAACAATAGGTGTCCGGAAGTATGTGGTTTAGTTTGGGACACGTAAAAACAGTGGTTTTCAAGACACGGCCCAAAACAATAGGTGTCCGAAAGTATGTGGTTTGGGGGTGGGCAAACCAGTTTGGGACACCTAAAAAGTGTTTTCAAGACACGGCCCGGACATTGGAGCCCTGACCATGACGGTTCAAGCACCGTGGGACCTAAAGGTTGGCGCTCAATGTTGGAGGGCAAAGGTTGGCGCCCTTAGGGTGGACCCGTGACTTTAGCTGCAACAATGGGAACTTAACGATGAAGGATGAAGCGCTGGGTTGGATGTTGAAAGGTTGGTTTTGAGCACACTTTCGCTGTATAGACTTGCTCACGGGCTCAGACGACCCGGCCCGAAAGGATTTGGCTTTGTGGCAAATCAGATCAGGTTGTTGCGGGACTCAGAGCGCAGCTTGGCATGACTCCTGGAGGCCCAATTGATACATAATAAAAGTGCTCAATTGCATTTTCGGAGTTCGAGCGCTTTTTTCTGCTCGATTGGAAACGAACAGTTTTGAAGACGGCTTGGCCCAAAATGTGTCCCGCGTTTCGAGCGCAATTCGGAGCAACTTCGGGCACAATTTCGCGCAACTCGCAACCGAGCGCAATTTCAACAACTGCCCGAATTCTGGTCACGACACTAGCGCCTTTGGGTTCCAAGGTTCCGCGAAGCTGCAAGGGCTATGGGGTGGTCCGGGGCAGCGCACAGGGTTCTACAGGGCTCCATAACAAGGGTTCCACGGAAAGGTTCCACAAGCGTTTCACACTGAGTTCCACGAAGGTTCCCGCGAACCACAGGTGGGACTTGCACCATCGGGCCCCAATCATAGCCCGACGGCCCAATCGGCCCGGCCGGGGCGGGGAGCAAACCGCCAAGCTGCTTTAGCTGCTACAGGTGCCGTCGCGATTGCGCCGTCGGGCCCCGATCGGGGCCCGATAACACGATCGGGGCCCGACGCTGCCGGGGAGCAAACCACCAATCCAATTTAGATGCTGCTTTGCAGCCTCCACCCTGGTAGAACCCGGTGGAACCCTGGTGCAACCCTGGTGGAACCCGCCCCGGACCACCCCACAGTCCTTGCAGAACTTTGTTGGAACCTTGGTGGAACCCTGGTGGAACCCGTCCCGGGCCGCAGCCCTTGCAGAACCTCGGAACCCTGGTGGAACCCTGGTGGAACCCTGGTGGAACCTTACCTCAGGGCCGCCCCGGACCACCCCGGAGCCTATCTGGGCTGAGACCGCTTAGCTTTCAGCTGCTGGGGAAAAAAAGAAAGAAAGGAAAGGAAGGAAGGAAGAAAGAAAGAAAGGAAGGAAGAAAGAAAGAAAGAAAGAAAGAAAGAAAGAAAGAAAGAAAGAAAGGAAGGAAGAAAGAAAGGAAGGAAGAAAGAACAAAAGAGAGAAAGAAAGGAAGGAAGGAAGGAAGAAAGAAAGGAAGGAAGACAGAAAAAGAAGAGAGAAAGAAAAAAAGAGTTAAAGAAAGAAAGAAAGCAAGGAAGGAAAGGGCTTTGCGATAGGAATCTACTTCTCTGAGAAGAAGATTCCCATTGACTCAAAAAGCGGGGGCAGCGGGGTTGCTGTCAGCGTTCGGGATTGCGACCCTCTGCGGAGATCGGCGTGGTCGCTGTCAGAAATCTGCGGCCTTTCGACGATTTCTGATCTGCCCGCGCAACCCTCTGCCAAGATTCGCACGGTCGAGGTCACAGAACTTTGGCCTTTTACGATTTCTGCGGTGGCTCTGCGATCCGCGCGGTCGATGTTAAAGAACTGGGAACTCTTACGGTTTTTGGTCTGCCCGCGCGAGTTGCGGAGATCCACGTGGTGGAGATCAAAAACTAAGAAGATAGCTTGCAAATAGAAGATAGTAAGTGAGAGAAAGGTCTGTTTGTCAGGGGGTTATCCAATGTTTATCTCAGCCGGAGATATAGTAGACTTTCAAGTAGCTAGCTAGGAAATAGCTGGTTTTTATCTTTCACATCTTCTGCCGCGCCCAATCAGAGCCAATAGGCAACCCCCGTGCCAAGCGAGGCTGGTGATGCGGGTGCGGCAACCCAGCCCTAGTAAAGCTCGAAGAGCCGTTCGAAAGAGTCGAAAGTAGCGTGCGACGTACACTTTGGCAGCTTCGGCTGGAAAACCGGCTTTCAAGTACGAAAGTAGAACGAAGTACACTTTCAGAAGGCTTCGGCTGAAAGATCCCAGTTTTTAACTGGAGGTACGTAGACTTACGTCGACAGGACGCTGTGTTGCGTTCAGCGCGGCGTGCAGAAAAACCCAACGCAACCCCCGCGCGACCCAGTGTCGCGCGACCCAGTGTGACCCCGACATGTGCGGTTTTGGGGTCGCTGGAGGTTGCAGTGGGGACGCAAATTGGTTCTGCAGGTCCTTGGTGGACTCCAGATCACTCCTAAAGCCAAAGACCGCATTTCGCCGCGCTCGCTTTATGTTACGGAGCTGCACAAATGCAAATTGCGAGTTGCTTCGCTACGTACTTTCTACTTCAGACGCCAAGGGCAACTCTCCAACAACCTCCCCAAAAGCGACCCTTAAAGGCACAGTTGGCCCTTCCCGGCACAGGGAAGGGTCACAGCTTCCACAGACCAGCAACGCAAGAATAACGCGCGCGACTCGCCCGGGCACAGGCTCGGCGTCGGGGAGGCAAGACGCACGCCTCCCTAATCCTGCGGAATTCTTTGCAAAGAGGTTGTAACAAACTGCTCTGCGCAACGCAACCATAGTCTTTGAGGACATCGAACCCAGCGGAAAAACCTGCGAGCAACATGTCTGAGACACCCCTCAGACACTTCCCCCGAAAGCACCCCCAGACATACCCCACAAGACACCTTCCAAAGACACCCCCCGGCAGTCATAGAACAACCAAAACAACAGACGTCCCGAAAGTAAAGAAGAAAAGCGGCTGCTCAAGCCAACTTCTGTTTGCCATGAACCACGCAAGGTCGCCAGATTGGCTGACAACGGTGGGTGGAGAGCGCGCTGAGCCAACTCGCTCCTCAGGCCTTTCCGCGCTCATCACGAGAGACGACTGCAAAGGCATCCGCGCAAGACACCTTCCCAAGACACCTTCCACAGACACCCCCAAAGTCCCCCCAGCCCCCAGGACATTAACCAAGACAACCGCAACGCCTGCCCAAAGACCCCCAAACACATCCCGCAAGACAACTACCCAAAGACATTCCCAGGCGCTGTGCGAAATCTGCGTGTGAGGCCCCAAAGTGCTCCACGCTTGAGAGCGCGACCGCCCAAAGTACTGCTCCTGCCACGGGGCCCGCGCCAAGCTCCAAAGTGCTGCGCCTGCCACAGAGTCCGCGCCAAGCTTTCAAGTGCTGCGCCCGCCACGGAGTCCGCGCCAAGCTCCAAAGTGCTGCGCCTGCCACGGAGACCGCGCCAAGCTCCAAAGTGCTGCGCCTGCCACAGAGTCCGCGCGAAGCTTTCAAGTGCTGCGCCCGCCACGGAGTCCGCGCCAAGCTCCAAAGTGCTGCGCCTGCTACGGAGTCCACGCCAAGCTCCAAAGTGCTGCGCCTGCCACGGGGCCCGCGCCAAGCTCCAAAGTGTTGCGCCTGCCACGGAGACCGCGCCAAGCTCCAAAGTGCTGCGCCTGCCACAGAGTCCGCGCCAAGCTTTCAAGTGCTGCGCCCGCCACGGAGTCCGCGCCAAGCTCCAAAGTGCTGCGCCTGCCACGGAGACCGCGCCAAGCTCCAAAGTGCTGCGCCTGCCACAGAGTCCGCGCCAAGCTTTCAAGTGCTGCGCCCGCCACGGAGTCCGCGCCAAGCTCCAAAGTGCTGCGCCTGCCACGGAGTCCGCGCCAAGCTCCAAAGTGCTGCGCCTGCCACGGAGTCCGCGCCAAGCTCCAAAGTTCTGCGCCTGCCACAGAGCCCGCGCCAAGCTTTCAAGTGCTGCGCCCGCCACGGAGTCCGCGCCAAGCTCCAAAGTGCTGCGCCTGCCACGGAGTCCGCGCCAAGCTCCAAAGTGCTGCGCCTGCCACGGAGTCCGCGCCAAGCTCCAAAGTGCTGCGCCTGCCACAGAGCCCGCGCCAAGCTCCAAGGGCTGCGCCTGCCGCGGAGTCCGCGCCAAGCTCCAAAGTGCTGCGGTGCCAAGCTCCAAAGTGCTGCGCCTGCCACATGACTTGCACTCAGGCCCCAAAGTACTGCGCACGACCCAAAGTATTCCAAAGGAAGATCTAAAGCGCCGCGTCTGGCGCGCAAACTGAGCTTGCATGGGCAAAATCGAGCCCGTCCAATGGAGTGCGCCTGTCACGAAATCCAACTTTGACGTGTCTGGACATGCGTCCAAAACTACCACGCGACTGTGGCGCCAGAACCTTTTTGTTCCCCGATCTTGGCAAAACTTGAGTTCGCCAAAGGGAGCCGATTGCACGACAGGGGCAACGAACGTGCCCCTTGCGCGCGTGCTTGCCAAGCAATGGCGCGGAAACGCCAACCCTCAATCTTCCAAAGCGTCCGCGCAGCAAACGACTTGCAACGTTGCAAAAGGCACGGTTCACGCGCAGGCACAATGACTTCAGCGCTTCACGATTGCTAAAAAGGTCGCATTTTGCAGGAATCCCAATGGCAGGGCCCAAACCCTTCGCTATGCATTCGGGATAATAGGAAACGAGGCATCCGAAGCAAGACATGCGGTCGGGCGTCTCCTGCCGTGAGGCCATCCATTGCTTCACAGTCGCGAGGAAGGCATCTGGAATCTGGACCTAAGCGCGAGGCAGACAAGTTCGCACGAGCGAAATCCGAAAGTCGGGGCCGCGCCTTCTCCTTCACGGCATTGCTGAGGCTGCTCGCAACTATGCTGATGTCACTCGACCTAACCAGCCCCAACAACAAAAGCACATCTGACTGAGCTACCTGGGCCAAAGCTTCATGCCAAGTACGATTTGCGACATGTACTTGCGCTGGCCTCAGTGCAAGTCTCGCTGCTTGCGAAAGTCAAGTGCTGAGACTGGAGCTCTCGGTGATGGCCGGAGCCATGAAGCCTGCGCCGCCCATGCCTGGCGGGCCCGAGGCAAAGCCGAGCGAGCCTAGCCCCACGAGCCCCACGAGCCCGAGCCCTGCCTTGGGAAGGCCTGACCAACTTTGCAACTTTGCAACTTTGCAACTTGCACTCACATTCTGGCAATTCTGGCAAGTCACGCTTGAACTGAGGCAGCGACATGCATCCACATCCGGTCGGAGTCGGCAGTGGCAAGCCCATGCCAGGCAGCATGGACGCGTGCGACATTGGCATCTGTGGCATCTGTGGCATCTGTGGCACCTGCGGCACCTTGGCGTCTGAAGCTGCCCGCAGTCGTGGCGTTCTGAGCCCGCCGCCATGCTCGGATATTGCCACCTCCAAGATTAGCGCAAAGCAGTGCAACTAAATCCAAGTCTAGATGCAACCAAGTAGCATGCCCATCATGATGGGCTTGCAACGGGTGAGACGGTTGGCTAATTAATCGGCCCGAGTCATGGGTACATTAAGGAAGCCAAGGGAGGCCCGAATCTGGGCAAGACTCTCACTCGGGCTTCCGATGCGTGAGCCACACACATTACGCGATTATGCCTTGAGTCTCCGTTTGGGGCGCAGTTCCTTAGTCAAACGCCGTATCGCATGCTTGCGCAACAAAGGCTATGCGGCTATCCCATTGGCATGCTGGTATGATCCCTCGGTCTGTGTGTCAGACTTGAGATCTAACGTGTGCGTCTTCTGAAAGCTGCACGGCTTGGCAAGTCGGCCGTCTTTTCCGATGGAATCTTCGTTAACGTGCGCAATGCTCACAAGAAGCGCGAGAATCCTTGGGTCCAGCGCCACTTTGAATCAGTCCGGCACACGGTCGACACGGTCGACACGGTCGACACGGTCGACACGGTCGACACGGTCGACACGGTCGACACGGTCGACACGGTCGACACGGTCGACACGGTCGAAATCGGCGCTTGCCAAGCTGCGCCGCTTTTCGTGCCTCGCAGTCTGAGACTCCGAGTGCTGTGCATCAAGCATAGCAAGCTCTGGCCTGACTGAGGCTAAACAGGGGGCCACCGGGGCCGCCGGAGCCATGGACATGAGCACATTCTCCTCGTCTTGCTCGTCCTTCTCCTAGTCGATAACGTGATATGCATTTGAGCGGCGCGGATCACTCTGGTCACTCCTCCAGCATGGGCTGCAGGCCTCGAAGACACGGACAAACTCAACTGAGCAGCGCGCCCAAGCTGGCCGTCGGGTGCGTTCCCTGTCACCGACCTCGAAAGAGGAAAGGAAAGAAAAGAAAGATCGAAAGGGAAAGCGCTCAAAGCTCAAAAGGAAAGCAGCAGCTAAGCATGAAGAGCTCCAAAGCACCGGGCTTAGCACTCACATCCCAAGGCTCCCTGCCCGATTGTCCGCTCTGTGTCGGCCAGCAGGTCGGCAGCCTTTGCACGTCTAGCTTAAGGGACGGTGTCGTTTCAGGTGTTGTAGGCTTCCGACTCCTGGCGTCGGTGGCAAGTGGCCTGATCGAGCTCGTGCACACGACTCTGCAGCCAGTGCGGAATGCGGCGGCTTTAAGGCCGATGCCAGAGGTCGGACCTCCACCCCCAACTGACTCCTAGCGCAAATGACAAATACTTCCATTGTCAGCGTGTGTCTGGCCTTCACACGTCCAAGTGACAAATGCAGGCTGTGGGCCAACCTGGGAACAAGAAAGATCATGATGCACAGCTCTGGCCCTGCTGAGCAAAAATGAGATCGCCACGACACCGCTTGGTTGCCCCCGTGACACGGGTAGGTGCTCTGCGCAGGTGAGTGCATGAAGGCTCATCAAATTTTGGAAGTGTTACATTGATTTATATCCGCCTCGATGATGGGCACAAAACCATGGGTCAACAGCAATGATCTGTCGACGTAGTTTTGGACATCCTGCCATTCTCAGGCGCGTTTCTCGGGTTGCCACACGCAATGGGGTATGGGGTTCCTTGGCGGCGATTCGAAGGCGGTCCACGACCTGGAATTGCGAGGCCAAGCTCAAATTCAGTCCTCGCGCCCCGCTCAGGCCCGCCTCGTAGAGCTGCGCAAGCGCGGCTTCGTCTTTGTAGTGCTCTCGTGCGAAGTCCTCGCGTGCAAGGTGAGGGACACAAAGGGACACAAAGGGACACAAAGGGACACAAAGGGACACAAAGGGACACAAAGGGACACGGCTTTTTTTCGCCTCCGTGATATGAAGAGCTCGCTCGCCTCTTGAGAGCGCTTCGGCTGCCCTAAGCGAAGCGGATGTCCTGCCTTGAGGCCTCTGAGCTCGTCTGAGCTCCGAGCACTGCTTGGATTTGCGCTGCATCCCTGGCGACCCGCGAATCGCTGGAAACCGCTGGAGGCCTTCCGCCTTGGGAGCAGCTCGTCGCTGATCTGACGCAGCCTCGTGCGCAAGCATCCGCATCCCTTCCCTCGGCCCTCGGCCCTCTTCGGCCCTCTTCGGCCCTCTCTTTTCGTCTCTATCTGAGCTTTCTGCGACAAGTCCTCCACGTCCACTTTTCGCGGCATGGCTGCGAAATCCTCGCACAAGTGAACAACTACTCGACTGACTCTACTCTTTTATGTCTGGCGTGGTTTTTGCTGAGCCATCTGCAGTGGCAGTGCTTGGCTGTGCACCCGCGTGAGCGCATGTTGGCTTGTATATGTTCAGAGATTTGAAGCAACATCATGCCATTCTGGATCTTTGTCACTATGTCACCTGAGCCAAGTTAAGCCGCTTTAGCAAGAGCACATGGCAACTTCTGGAAAACAGTTGCAGAGCGCCTACGTTGCCCTCCTACAAAGAAACAAAGCAAAGCAGCCAAAGAACTGCCTGCTTCTGTTACTCACCCTGCGGCCTCTTCTGCTTCTTTCTTTCTTCTCAGCTGTTTTCGCCGCACTCGCCCCAGCCGTGGCCCCCACAGCCCCCACAGTGTCACTGTGCCGGCCAAAGACCTTTGGCGGCAGCTCCCTCCGCAGCAAGGGGCTGAGGTCCTCGAGGGCTCCAACTCGAGCGGATGCCATGAGACTTCGAATTCGATGGAAGGTGTAGCAAAGTGTACGGATCCGTGCAATGCTGCAGGTGCAGCTCCGACTGAACCGTGTTGCACGGATTTTCAAAGCCCTTTCTAACGCCTCTCGCCCATCTCGGGCTGTCCGGCTCAAGCCGATTGAGGGGGCGACCGGTTGCGCGCGCAGCCGGCACCGGTGGATCCGTACGATGCGACTGTCCGCCATCGACACCAAAGACATTGTCAAGCACTGCACAGACATTGCTGAATAATCAGCGATTTTCTTTTGCACATGTAGACAGGACATGCAAACAGGGCTCAAAACGTGAGCAAGAACCCCCCGGCTTCGTGCTTCATTTGTTGGCGGGCGCGTCAGGCAAGGAACGCAGTTTTGTACGTGCTTTCAGCTGGGCAGTTCTGAGGCCTGTTGAAGCGGCCTGCCTCTGCCACGTCCTGCTCGACTCCACCTTCTAATTCCTGGCAAGAATTGCCTCTCACTATGTCTCACTTTCAAACTTTCTCCTCCCCCAGCACGTCAATGGAGTGAGCAGAGTTCTGCTCGACAATTCTGAATCCTTGGTGAGCCAGTGCAACAGTTTGGCCATCAGACCTCCCTTTGGTTGGCTTTCTTCTGGTCTGTCCATCTTTGTGGGGAGCTTGCTGACTCAAGCGGGCAGGACACTTATGCTTAGACTCTTAGACGCATTGTCAAATTTGAACTTGATTGCCCAGCTCAAGCTGTGCAACAAACCGATGTTCTCCCTCTCCGAGATTGGCAGAGCTTCGGATTGCGCAGCTCTGATTCTCGCTGTCGTCCAAATGCTCGCCGCAGCATGCCAAGCCCATGGCGTCAAGGCCCCACCCTGGCACTATCTGGCACTGCCCTTCATGAGAACATTCGATAACCAATGTGATCCACTCGTGTCCACTCGCTGACTCACCAACCCTATGTTTTCGGAGCACTTGTGGCCCGTCCATTGCGACTTGTCCATGCACCGGGCAGTGAATGAAGTGTCGGAAAGACATGCCCCAAAAGCAAGGCAACAAGTGTAGCAAGGAAGCAAGGCATGGCAATTTTGGGTGAGACCGAGCAGTCCGCACGCATTCGATGCGCTCAGGACTTCAACCTGGCACAATTGAAACCTGAGATGAAAAGGCGAATGCATCGGCCAATATAGGCGAATGCATCGCGAACGGACTTGAGCCTCAACCGCCTCAACCGCCTGTCCCGCCTTAGAACGTCTTCCGCGCCACCAGTCCACGAACATCCGCTTTGCCCTCTTCGTACTCCTGCGCTGCGAGACAAGCTCTTTTGCGGCTCTGTTCAGGCCTGAGATTTTGTCTGGGTCTTCCAGTCTTGCCCGTGTGTTGCAATCTTTCCATTGTTTGATGTGCTTTGATATTGATGTGTCACGCCTGTAAGCCCAAATTACCGCTATGACTTGCATCCACATGCTTTGTATGTCTATACCGTCTTTTGCCATCTTTTGCCATCTTTTGCCTCTCGTCCCAACTTCGCAACTTCGCATCTCTTTCTTCGCAACGTCTCTTTTGCCGCATCTCTTCCGTACCTGCTTGGTGATGGCCACCTGGTCGTAGGTGGACATCGAGGCAAACATGGAGCCGCCGATCCAGGCGGCGAAGCGGCGCTGGGAGTCGCTGACCACCTCCACCTCGAGCCGAAGGCAAAAAACAACGCCAAACGAAGCGACCAGCAAATGGATAAAACACAACTCTGGAAGCCAAACGTCAAACCACACAGAAACACAGACGAAAATCCCGAGGCACGCCGGTGCCGCATTTTGAGGCCCAGGCAGTTCGGGACAGGTCAGATGCCAGGGCGCTCTTCAGCTCCAATCTAGGCAAACGCAAGAAATGTGCGGCGAATTCGACGCGAGCTATGCGCCACCTCAGCCTTGGAGCCAGGTTCTGCAGCATGGAGGTCCCACCTGCACCGGTCGGCTCCCGCGCCGGTGCGCGCCGCTGTGCCACGCCTGCCACAACCACGCTCTTCACCAGGTCCTGCGGTGCCGTGCGTTCACCATGTGCGAAGCTGCAAGGAGCTGGCAGTTGCAGAATGCAGAAATGCAAGGGCATGGGCTATTTGTTCCCAGCGCACTTTGAGTCAGCAGCCGTCCTGCCGAAAATCGAGGTCGACGGTGTTGATGGCATCCAGGCAAATTTTCTGCATGGACGCCCTCAGGCACCGACTCTCATGGCTCTCATGGCTCTCATGGCTCTCATGGCTCTCGACTTCAGTAAGGACCTGGCTCTCCTTCTACACCGCCGAACAAGATCTCTGTTGCTCCGGCTCGGATCTTCTCACTGACCTGTGCCGGCTCTGCAAAAAAACACAAGCGACCCAGTGATGGGTCGCCTGGATGATCTTGCCATCCGGCAGCTCGAAAGATCTAGCTTCCTCGTCCCCATCAGGCCTAACACTCCAAGCTCGCTATCCTTTTCTGGCTTGGAAGCTGAGCTAGGGGCGCCGGAACCCCACTACTCGACGGCGCTACGAAGCAAACCTGCCGCGGCTTGCATCCGCACTTTCTAAGCCGTAGAATCTCTATTGGCAAAGCAAGCAAAACGAGAAGATGGATGAAGCCATTGGCTTCGACAGTCTGAAAGGTGGTCCTCATAAAATTGCAGCTTGCTACGCGTGAGCCTCGGCCTAAAACCGTCCACATTTGAGCGCACGAAGCAGAACAGCTGATTCCCCATTCGCATGGACGGAAAGGAGGACAGGAAGAAGGAACATGATGGGCGCAGGAGCCGAAGGAGGAGCACCATGCTCACAATGAGAAGGACCAAAGTGCAGACTCATGCACCATTGGAATGGCCGTTTCTTGGCAACTTGTGTGCATATCTCGCCCAGAAGTGACCTGAACTAGAGAGCCCCTCAATAAGTATGAGTCCGTATGAGTCCGTATGAGTCCGTGTGAGTTAGTGTGAGTTAGTATGAGGGAATGAGGGAAGGGCTGAATGGTCGGGCGGGAGGGCCGGAGGGCCTGTTATGTTCGGTCTGTGCATAACTGCACCGCACCTTCTCCTTGAGAGCCTGCATGGTTCGGTAGCTCTGAGGTTCTCCGAGCTCCTCCCCCTCGGTCCGAAACAGAAGGAAAAGGGAAAGGATTCGTGGAAGAAGAACATGGACAAGGCAAATGTCGTTGAACTCGTTGCGTGACTTTGAGATTGACAAAGGCTGGCACCATGAGGGTCTGGATGCGCTGGGTGATGTCTTGCCCTGCAACCTCAAACTCGTCACCGCAAACTGACCGAAGTTGGGTTTTGCGACAGCCAGGCAGCCTTCATCTTGAAGATAGCGTGCGGTATCGCATAGCCCTCAAACACTGGAACAGCCTAGGCGTGGGGCTAGAAGCCCATTCTGTGCATGTCATCTTCACTCGCCACACGTAAGTCAGCAAGAGGTGCCTGTGTGATACCTTCACCGCTTTCTACAACCAGGCCTCGGGTGCCTCAGCCATGGCAAAGGCACGCAGAGGCACGCAGAGGGCACGCAATCCTTGAAAGGCTTCTAGTTCCACCCAATTCAAGCCGGAAGTCAGTGAATGCTTCCTTTTTGCCGTCGTTGCCTTCCAGGTCCCAATGGTTGATGAAAAACTTTAAGGGAACCTCAGAATCATCGCGGCAAGGTGAGGCAGGTAAGGGCCCTGCGCCCCGTGGAGAACAGGCTCAATGCCTCATAGTTGTGAGAGAAAATATCGCTTGTGTCTCCGCTACAAGGGTTTCGAGAGAGAGAGATGTCAAATATCATGCTGTACTACTTGTCCCTTGTACATGCATGATGTACACTACCCGACCGCAGGCCTTGAGTCTACAAGCAAAAGAGTGCATGCTGGGAAACTACATTTGTGTTTGTGACAGCATAAACAACACTTGCACTTGTAGTAAAGCAACGACGTATTTCAACGTGGTAGCGGAGCTGAGATGCTAAACATAGGGGAGCTCCAGTAACAGCAGTAAGTACTACAACTGCACAGGCAACCACATGCACAACTACTACGACATGTCAGGAGAACCAGCAGCAGCATCAGCACAACCAACTACAGGAGCAGACAACGGGCCCACAGCAGAGGAGACAATAGGAGCCACAACTACGGGAACAACACAGGAGCAGGAAGACGTCCAAAGGCTACACAAATACAAACTGCCACCACCGTTCTTCACTGGTGACTACTCACAGTACGAAGAGTGGCTGTTCAAACTACAAGCATACCTCGGACTCATCGACCGAGACTTCGACATGGTACTACAACTAGCACAAGCAGCTACAAGACAAATTGAAGATGCAGACATCAGAGCCCACATACGCGACCCTACACAGGCAGCAAAAGCAGTAGACCTCTCACGAGATCTACACTACATCCTCATCAACATCTGCCAAGGTGCAGCAGCTACAGTGGTCAGACAAAACCGCTACAATGCCAGTGGATGTGAAACACTACGGATTTTGCACAACAGGTTCAGCCTACCAGTAGGAACACGCAGTGTTGGCTACCTCACCAAACTACTGCAACCTACAATGAAGCACAATTTGAAGAACAATTCCTACAGTGGGAGTATGACATCAACCGCTACGAGAAAGACAACGGCACAGCACTACCAGATGGAGTGAAGATTGCAATACTACTCAACAAGACCAAAGGAGCACTTCAACAACATCTCCAACTACGTGCTGGACAGATCACGAACTACAACGAGATCAGAGTTGTCATCCTGGACTACTACAAGACCATATCTGCATTCTCAAGAGCGAGCTCAGCGGTTGGCACAAACTACAATGGTGGAACAGCACCCATGGACGTGGACAACGTTTGGAGGAAAGGAAGAAACTACAAAGGCAAAAGCAAATATGGAGGCAAAGGGTCCTACAAAGGAAACAAAGGAAAAGGCAAGTACAGAAACAAAGGCCACTACAAAGGATTCGACAAAGGCAGCAAAGGAAACTACAACAAAGGAGGATACAACAAGAGCAAAGGAAAAGGCTACTCAGGATCCAAAGGATATGGATCAAGCAAAGGCTACAAAGGCCAAGGAAACTACAGCAAATCAAAAGGAAAAGGAAACAACAACTACACAACATGCCATCGATGTGGCAAGCCTGGCCACTGGGCACAAGATTGCAGAGTGCCAGTATGGCACATAGGAGAAGGAGAAGAAATACATCCACTAGAACAAGAACAAGCAGATCATGACAACAATGAAGAACTACCTCAGGATGTGAACGACACTTGGGACTGGTACTACGAAGGAGAAGAAGGACAACACGAGGTGAACTACATGGAGGAGAACTGGAACGACTACGACTATGACAACAGCTGGGATTGGAATGACAACAGCTATGAGGACACAGCAAACTACATTGGAGGCATCAACGAGTCACACCTTACCATTGGACACATCAGACAAGCAAACTCACGACTACACAAGCACAAATCCAAATCACTACTTGGCAAGAGAACAACACACAACATAATGGAACGACCACAGCAAGAGCTTTCAACAATTCCTACAAGAAGACACCACACAGCCACACTTTGACAAAGCAGCAGCAAGACAACAACAAAGGAACAAGAAGATGGAGGACACTATTACACACTACATCATGTACTCCAACTTCAAGTCACACCACCACCTGTTGATCGACTCAGGAGCATCTACACGTGATTGCCCGAAGGACTACGCACCAGACCTACCGCTACGACCTTGTGGAGAATCGGCTCCACAACTCTACACGGTTACAAACAAGAAGATTCCTGTCTACGGCATCAAGTACGTTCCCTACAAGCAGGACAACTTCAGGATCATGATACCCTACTACGTTTGTGATGTGAAGTATCCAATCCTCAGTGCATCAAGACTACTTGATAGAGGATATGGACTTGACTTCACTCCACGACACTGCACCATCACACATGGACAACAACAAGCACACCTTATAAGACACTCAGGACTTTTCTACCTACGAGCAGAGAAGATCGACATCCCTACAGGGTTCGACATCTACCCAATGACTACAGACAATGGAAAATCCATTGCTGTGATTCAACATACGGAGAAAACAGTACAACAACAAGAACAAATTGCACCACTCACCCACTCAGACCAAGGACTACGACAGATCCTTGGTGGAAACACTGACTACTGGAAACTTGATGGTGACTACGCCGTCAGAGTACACAAACGACCACGCAAAGCACTGTTCACACCACACAACAGTGGCTGCCCAATACCAGAAGGAGAACTAGATGATTGGCGACTAACCATCCAAGAACAACTACAAGAGAACCCAACACAACTTTCCAAGCAAGAACTACAACGAAGACTAGAAGGTGACAACTGGACTGGAGAAACCAGATTCAGAAGAAAGATAACACCTACACGCAGAGCAACATCAAAGACCACACCAACAAGGCAGAGCTCACAACCACAACGCTAATGGGCACACCACCAACCAGATCAAAGATCCAACTACGAGCACCACAAAAGATATGGAGACCTAAAGCAGCACCTTCTACAAATCTTGACACCACACAACCAAAGGAGACAATCCACAGACCACTCACAGCACAGCAGGACAACCAAGACTACTGGGAAACACAAGGTGAATTCTGGATAAGACACCACACAACACTTAGAACAACTATAGTCACTCCAACAGATGGACCAGGACATCCACCAATCGGCACACTTGAGCCTCACAGAACTACAATCACTCACAACCACTTTGGAGAAGTTTCGCAACGCAAAGATGACTGGACAGTCATGGGCAACTCAGCACTACCATTTCAATGGAAAGGAACAACAAGGTTCACCGTGAAGAAAGACTATGAGTACATCCAGGAGAACCACGATGAGGAACAACAACACGAGCATCATGAAGCACACAGAACAAGAGGACTACGACAACCGCAGCAGTCCACTCCACAACAAATAGCAGAACACAACTTGACACACCTACCATACAGAAATTGGTGCCCCATTTGCGTTCAAGGCAGAGGACGCCAGGACAACTACAAGAAACAACAATCACGACAACCCATCATCCAAGTGGATTTTGCCTACATCAAATCACAACAAGATCCGAAGACCATACCAGTCTTAACAGCAGTTGATGTTTCTACACAACTGTGCATGGCGGTATTGGTTCCGGACAAACCAATGATGGACTACATGATCAACAACCTACAAGCATTCATCTTTGAATGCGGAAGAACACACGGCATACTACAAAGCGACAACGAAGACACACTCAATACACTACTAAAAGCAACAGCATCTAAAGTCGGCTCAATGACTGTACGACATTCACCATCCTACAGCAGCAACAGTCAAGGAAGCGTTGAGCGACTACATAGAACACTTCTCGGACAAATCCGCGTCGTCAAAGCTCAGGTTGAAAGCAACTACAGCTTGACGATGTCCACAAAGCACTGTCTACTACCTTGGATAGTACGACACGCAGCATGGACGGTAAATCGCTACGTCATTCACTCAGACGGCTACACAAGCTTTGAACGCCGCTGGGGAAGAAACTACGAGCGAGCAATCTGCAAATTTGGCGAGACACTACTTTACCTTCCACCACAACACAAGAAACTTCCAAAAGCAGACCTACGGATGCAGAAATGCATCTGGCTCGGAAAAGTTTCCGAAACCGGAGAAAACTACGTCGCAACGGAATCAGGCGTACAAAAGGTACGAACAGTACGGAGACTACAACCGGACTTCAAATACGACCTCGCACTGTTGAACAAAGTTTCCGGCACACCATGGGCACCACGACGGAACACCTACAACCCATCGTTCGCAACACTGTTGGATACGCAACTACAACCGTCAGAGAAAAGAAGGTCCACGCAAGATTTCGGACAACAAACGAACGCTACGGACGACATCGTTGCGGAACCCGCAACAAAACAACAACGCACTACACCACCTCCACGACTTCCGTCAACATCGACGTCAAGTTCACGACCACTACCGGATAGTCCTATGGCTACTTCACCAACCGGACGACAACATCCACCACTACCAGCACCACCTCGACAAACACTACGACGTTTAACTCCGGAAGAAGTAACGCAACCAACTAAAGCACAGAAGACCTCAAAGGACACTACAATCAGACCAATGGAGCAAGCAACCAAAGAACCACCACCACTACGAACACTTTCCAACGGAAAATCCATCACCCCCTACACAAACGACGACACCTCAGAAGACCAACCCATAATCTTCGACAACGAAGGTTACGACGAAACACAACTACTGGAAGGAATGAAACACGAGTCAAACCAAATGAAGCTACATCACGTCTACGACGAAGTAGATGCGTCTACCGTCGACGACAACGTCATCAGAGAAGCGATGCCTACAAGATGGGTACACAGAAAGAAAGGACCAGGAGTACGAAGCCGAATCGTCGCAAAAGGCTACACAGAGAAGATCGAGGACGAAGACTCCGTCTACGCCTCTACACCAATGTTCACGACACTCCGGACACTTCTCGCGCTACAAATGTCACGACCAAACTGGATAGCGCGACTAGGCGACGTCTCTACAGCATTTCTACACGCACCCATCGCAAAAGACCACGACGGTAAACAACGTGACGTCTATGTTTGGCCACCTAAAGAACTCTGTCCACAACAGGACAAAATCTGGCGACTAAAGAAAGCCATGTGTGGACTACGCAGTTCACCAAAAGCATGGCAGGACTACCTGGCTGAAGTGTTGCAAAAGCTCAGCTTTGTAAGACTAAAGTCAGTCTACACCAATGCGACTCGGGACTGCTACATCATGGTCTACGTGGATGACCTCTTGGTACTTGGTGACAAGACTACTGTCGACTCCACCTTCGAGGCCATCCAGAAGCAGGTCCTACTCAAGCACATCGGCTACCTCGAACCTGGCAAACCACAACAATTTCTTGGAAGAAACATCGACCACTTTGGCAACTACTGCAATCTTGGACTAAAGGACTCCTACATCGACAACATGATCGAGGAGTCTGGAATGAACAACTGCAACTCAGTGAACACTCCAGGAATTGCACACTACAAACCAACAATAGAAGATGAAGCACTACTTGACCACGAACAACACAAAAGGTACAGAAGGATTGTTGGCAAACTTCAATGGTTAGCATACACACGACCAGACATTGCATACTCCACAAAAGAACTAGCACGAGACCTCACAGCACCTACAGAACTTTCACAAAAGAGAGTCAAACATCTACTACGCTACTTGCACGGCACCAAGCACTACAAATTCACCATAGAACCAACAACAACACTCAGAGCAAACACCAACAACATCCTGGATCTCGACGTTCATGTCGATGCCGACTGGGCAGGATGCCCTACTACCAGGAAATCAACTTCAGGTTTCAACATCATCTTTTTAGGAACAACAGTTGCATTTGGCAGCAGAACACAAGCTACAATAGCACTCAGCTCAGCAGAGTCTGAACTCTACGCCATTTGCACAGGAGTTAATGAGGGACTACACCTCAGAAACTTCCTACTTGAAACCAACATTTGCAGCAAGCTAAACCTACGCATCCACACAGACTCCACAGCAGGCAAGAGCATTGCTACACGACAAGGCACTAGCAAACGAGCAAAACACATCGACCTTAAATTTCTCTACACACAAGACCTCATCAAGCACGACATCATCAGAATCCTCAAAATCAACACACTACACAACAGCTCAGACTTGTTCACAAAATACATCAGCAAAGAAACACTACAGAGGCTCATACAGAGCATCGGCATACGCGTTTAGCACTACGAACAACAACTGTTTCACAACTATTTCACATCAACCACAACAGTTTGTATATGGCCATATGTAACTACTTGCATGTAAGTAATAGTAACAGTAACTACAAGTCACAGTAATTGTAACCACCAGTAATTTGCACTTACACTCTTTGGCGGCTTTTGGCGGCTTGAGACAACATTACATGTTGTTTTGTTTTACTACATTCCCGCATGTGTTTTGTTGTGAGCTACCATTTGGCTCACTACTTTGCCCCGTCTCACCTCGTTTGCTTGATCGCACTACCAGCAATGTCTGGACCCATGGATGCGACTACGACCGCGCCTGTGCCAGCACAGCAGATTGGTACTACTACACCTGACCGAGTTTTGACACCACCCAACCAACCATCCACTACAGATTCCAGCAGCATGGTCTCTGTGGCTACAATGCCCCCAACTACCACTTCTGATGACATCCTGAACCACCTCACTACTGTCGAGTGCGACAGTATCCACACTCCGACTGTGGATCAGGGACGAAACTACGCCGAGGTCTATGTGGGGCTGACCTTGGAGGAGTATCAACTACTCAGCCAACAGCAGACCACGCCAATGCCAGACCTCGACTACCAACTGCCAATCCACAACCTGCCATCAGACCTACGAATGCCCCTCTACGATTCACTACCACTCAGCCTACGCTTTTCAGAAGCGTTCAAGTTCTTTTACTACAACTTGACTTCACTACACCTCACCACATCGCACACCAATTCCATGGTCATCGTTCGACTTCATCTCCCTCAAGAAATCTTGCTACACTACATCAGCAGCGGCCAACTCATCAACTTTTCTCGTGACTACTTGAGTCACACGGTGTCAATCATTGGACAACATCACCTACCCACTCGGCAGCTACCCCAACGACTTCACAGGATCAACTAAGACATGAACCAGATCACCAATACCTTCAACCTGTCCAACAACTACATCTGGAACTACCACATGCCTCTTCACCTTCCTGAACTACTCAGCTACTACGACCAACCACAACAACTACAGGATCACCACTACAGAGCAATCAACACCATCATGCACAAGAGTTCCACGTACTACGGCTTCACATTACTCACTGCCACAAATCTTCCCATGCAACACAAACTACTAATACACAAACTCCTCACTACATTTCAACAACCACTTCCACCTCCAGAGATCAACTACACTTGTCTTCGAGGAGGCCCTGACTTCCTTACTACCTTCACTACCAACCACTACGCCAGCCTTGACCACCGCGCTGGTCAGCAACAAGGCTACAGAGTCCAGCATTGGACTAAGCACACCTAACTACAGGTGATGCTACATCAGTGAAGCAGCACCACAGCTTCGCTACAACTTTGGACCTCCAGGTCCAAACTACATCGGGATGTATCTCATGAACTCCACTCAGTACCACTACTGAGGCCTGAACAGGAGAGCTACTGAGATCAGCCTGTGCACACTACAGCTTTTTTGATCTTTGAGAGTCAGTGGACTACAGCCAGCAGAGTTGTAGTTATACTACTTTCGATCCTTTTGCAGTCAAAACTACTTTGAGCCCTTTGCACTTTTTCCCCTTTCTGGATATGGTTGAAAAGACACTACAGGGTCTTTTAACCAAGGGGCCGTGTCAAATATCATGCTGTACTACTTGTCCCTTGTACATGCATGATGTACACTACCCGACCGCAGGCCTTGAGTCTACAAGCAAAAGAGTGCATGCTGGGAAACTACATTTGTGTTTGTGACAGCATAAACAACACTTGCACTTGTAGTAAAGCAACGACGTATTTTAACGAGAGAGAGAGAGAGAGAGGGGGGGGAGAATCTCAATGATTCACTGGCTCAGGTTGGCGCAGCTGTATTGAAGATGGCCAATGATTTGACCTTTATCTTCTCAAACATCACCTATCCAAAACATGGGCATGCGACGGGCACGCGAGACGGGCATGCAAGGGGTGGAAGCCAAGGGCTGCGCCTCTGCTATCCACTGGCGTGTAGCATAAGAGCCTGTCCCGTGCTTCTCCGGCTTCGGGAAATAGGGACAATGTTAATTTGCGGGAAGGAAACGGAGCCCATTTTCGCCAAGCTCGCAACACAATCTGAAATCCCTTCTCTCCGAGCTGCTCTGACCCAGTGGCATGGTGTCAGCTATGAGGCACGGCAGGTCCTCACGAAAATTCGCGGACATCCCCGACACCGACTTCACCGGCTCCGACTGACGGTCCTCCTCCACGCCTAACACATTTCGAAAGACGTGTTCGAGAAGGCTCTCCATCGCCTCCTCGCGTTTTCCGGATCTCGGAAGCCTCTCCCTTTCTCTCCCTTTCTCTCCCTTTCTCTCCCTGTCTCTTCCTGTCTCTCCTTCTTTCTTTCGCTCGTCGCTCGTTTCGCTCTGAGTGGCCGGCTTTCTCCGGGGCCGAAAGTTGGAGCTCACCCCGCTGCACCGGGCGAGTGATCACTGCGCTCTCCTCCGCCGTTGAAACGGCACGCAGAGCTCAGATCGGCTCTGTCCTGCAGAACAGCCTCTTCCCCATAGAAGACCTGACCTTGGCTATGGCTTCATGCTTGGATTCGAGAGAGATTCTTGCCATGCTGCTCTTTTTCTGGGCGTCGCCAGAAACCTTGGAATCACAAGCAGAAAGGCCATGGTGGCTACATGCATTTGGCTCCACTGGGCACGCAGCAGCCTCATCCTCTCTGCTTTCGTCTGCCTGGCAGATGCAAGACTAATTCGCAGATCCAATCCAAGCGGTGCGCACCGTGGCAGTGGCCATGGCAGTGGGAAGGACTGCGCGTGGTGCATCTTCCCCGCAGAATCCGACCTATTGGGGCATTGGATGAAAAAGTGAAGTAGAAAAGCAAATCCCCGTTGCCTTTAGAAAGCCAGATCCAGCATCCAGCACGACCACATCCTGGCATCCGTTTGGGCACACAAAAATATCCCAAGAAAAAGGACTCCTGCTCGTCCATGGTGCATTCTAGCTCCATTCCTGAAACGGAGGCTTCCCGCGTGAAACGGAGACTTCATTTTGCCGAGCTGCTGCCCTCCATTGCGCCGGCCCCTACCCTCGACCCTGGAGCCGCAACGAAACTCTGCCCAAATGCACTCCAAACTCCAAACCACTCCAAACCGCTCCAAACCACAAGACTTTGCACTTTGAACCTTCGGCCAGTTCGGCTCGGCTCCACATTTCCGCGGGCATTAACGACTCCCGGCTCTGCCGGGCTTCAGCGCAGGACCGCCGCAAAATTTGCAGGCAGCTCCTGTGGCAAAGCGAGAAAGGCGCACCGAGGCGCGCCGAGCTGTGCCAAGCCGAGACAAGTCCTTGATAGAAACAGAGTAGAACTTCTCCAAATCTGTGATCAGAGACTCGTCTTCTGTCCTGCAGGATGTGCCCCGAGACCCTATGTCCGGTGGAAACGGCGGCCTGACAAAGTTCACCGCGACGCCTTTGCGTCCAAAGCGACCGGACCGGCCGATGCGGTGCAAATAGAACCTGAGAGCTTAGCCAAAAACGGAAAGAGGTTTCCAGAGAGACTCGGAAGACTTAGGCCAAGGAGCTCCCGGCTAGTGGGCACATCGTAGTTTATCACGAGAGACACCTGCTGGACGTCCACACCACGGCCCACCAGGTCAGTGGCGATCAGCTGCCTCTCGGCGCGAGGGCCTTTCCTGGCCTCTGCCAATCCCTCTGCCTGGAGCGCCCTTCTCGGAATTCCTCCATCACGCTGTCCCGATCCTTCTCACTGCGCGTCTCACTGCACCAAGATCTCACTATGATCTATGTTGATCTATCCCATCTGCCTCTGTCCCCACTCTCACTGTCAGGGTCTGTGAAGCCAGACCTTCTGCGGCATGTCTCCGTGGATTGACGAGATGGGGAAATTGGCGACCCGCATCTTCTGTGCCAACCAGTCCACTTTCTTGCGATTATTACCTGACGTGCTTCCAAGACTGCGGCGCGCTCATCGCAACAGACTGAACCGAACCGAGGTGCAAAATATGACAGACTGCGTGACCGCGACAGAGTCAAAAATGTCGCAGAGGGTGTCAAATTTCCATTGCTCCTGAAAAGAGACACTTTGGCTCACCCCATCGTGAGACGAACCAGCTGTTGTCGATGCTGTCCTTTTCAACAAAGACATAGTACTGCTGAATACCATGCAGTGACATTTCATCCCGCTTCACCAGCAGCCGGAAAGGCTTCTTCATAAAGTCTTGTGTCAGCGCCAACACCTGACCGAAGCTGTGGAAGCAGATATGAAAGGGGACGTGAGAAGCCTCGTCTGGCAAGGTTGCAGACACCAGCACTACCTGCAGCTTCTCTGGCAGGTGGCGCTTGATACCATAGACCTCTCGAGCGCATTCCTATCAAATTCAACTCTGCGACTCGCCGACTGGCCTGCTCCTTGAAGCCCTTGCTAAACATTTCGTCAGCTTCATCCAGAACCAGAACTTTCACACGGCTCACCTTGCGCCGGTCTTTTTGCGAACCCCTGAAAAAAAGGAAGACACGTGTCGTTTTTCACTGGGGTGCGATCTGGTAAGTGCCGCTGCTGGATCATGCTAAGAACCTCATGCGACTCAGTCGAACCGCCGCGCCACCTTCAAAAAGCTTTCGGGAGCCGCGCTCGACCTGGCGTGCCGGACACCATGTGGACACCTCAGCTTCTCTAAATTGGACTGAAGTGCGCCTTCTCTCCGCCGACTTCAGCCGAGCTGCCGGACTTCAGGGCCTTGATGCCATCTTTGATGCTTTTGCCACCCAAACATCTGTGGATCTTGACGCCAACGTAGTCACCCAGCGCCAAACAAACCTCGTGAGCTCAACATGGAGCGCAGGTTCTAAGCCGTGATTCGAGACAGGCCAGCGTTTGAACCCTTGAACCCTTGAACCCGTAAGGCTAGGGTTGAGTCGGAGTCGTTGAGGCAAGCGGTTTCAATGCGAGACACCTTGGCGCTTTGCTCAGCTAGCTCTCGCGTGGGTGACAGGAGGATGGCCTTGCGAGTTCTTGCCGGACACTCCGATCACTCCGATCACTCGGATCACTCCGACTCTGAGACTCCGACCTGTGGCTCCGAGGTCCCGAACTCCACGGCTTGCAGCGCCCCAAGGCAAAACACGGAGGTTTTGCCTCTCAGCGCCGTCCGCGCCGTCCGCGCCGTGCGCGCCGTCCGCGCCTGTGCCACTCTGGGACTGGACGATCACGTCCCGGCCTGGAGCATCGCCGAAACAAGAAAACTTGAAAACCAAAGACACCCAGAATATTAAAAAATCTCAAAATCCAGAAACTCGAAAGTCAGAAAGTGCCTCGCAGGATGGGCCGGATCGCCCGCTGCTGCACTGCAGAGGGCCTTGCCAGACGTCGGTCGAAATTCTCAAGGGCTCACGCCGCCTTTCGAAGCCGTAAGCATAAACGCCCCGCAGGATGTCCTCCTCGGAGCTGAAGGCATGCCCAAATGCCCAAATGGGCCCAAAGGCCCAAAAGCAATAGGCCAAGTCGTCAGGTCTTTCAAAGACCTCTTCGTGCGCCTTCAAGCCCATCTTGTTGAAAGACTGCACCGCTTCCACATCCTTCGGAACGGTCTCCATCGGCCCGACCAAATCGGAATGCGGCATTCACCCGACTCGCCGATGCCCTTAGGCTGATGCTTTACTTGTATCGAATTCTCAAACCCGTGGTTTGCGGCGAGAGTTTGGAAGGTGTTGCACCGCGACTTGTCACGAAGCTCTCACCATGCCTCTGAGCTTTCGAAGACCAGGGAGGCATCATCTAGGGCCATGCACAGTCGTTCTAAGCTTTTCAGTTCTGCTGTCTGTGTGTTGGCAAGTGCTGGCTGTGACAGTTTCAATGGCTGCAAAGCACAAATTCCGCCCAGTCAGACTCTGGCCAACACGCTCAAACCGTACAGCGCGCATTTTGTGCGCGATGCGCGAAGCTCCTTTTGGCGCATGCGGAACTCTCTCGCGAGGAGCTGCTCACGGCTGAGGGGTCGCGCCGGGCTTGCGTTTGAAAAAGTGCAGGCGATCCAGGAACAGCGGCCACGTTGGCAGGCGAACGGTGTCCACCAAATCGAAGTCTGCCTCAACTTGAAGTTGGAACTCCTGCGAGAACGACTGTCCATGGTTCGATATTTCTTTGACGTAAGAACCAAGCGTACTCGTTCTCCATTCTCCAACCAGAAACAAGACATCGCCCTCATAGTGGCGCAAGCACTGCATTCCATACGTGCCAAAACCCATGAAGTCTGGCCACATCAGTACAAGCGCACGACCTCTGTGCTGTGCAACCACCTGCGGGCCTCCACACTGCACTTCGCAGTGATAGCGGGAGGTTATCTCCTGGCCCTGGGAAATTGAAGCTGAAGTGTAGGATGAGTCGAAGTGCTTGGCATCAAAGGCCAAAATATCCACAGACATGTCCTTCAACAGTGCTGCCCAATATCCGGTTCCCGCACCCACCTCCAGCAGTGGCTGGTGCGCAGCCAGCAGCTCAAGTGCCTTTTGAGTGGGGATGCTCCAAGCGTACTGGTTGCGAAGATTCAGCTGTTCTGCACCCATGCTGCTCAGCTCCTCCAAAGTGATGGCCTCACAATGCACCCACTGTGCAGCCAGCCACGAGCCCCAGAGCCTCATTTTCTCCAGGTACAAAGCCAAAAATGCGTTGGGCAGCTCCTCCAGCTCAGGCAAGTGCGCATTTTGGCGATTTTGGGCATTCACGACCCAAAGGTTGATGAGGTGACAAGCCCGCGGCAAATCCTCGGGCAGCCGGTCGTAGAGGTTCTTACTCAGCCGCGCCACTGCGTCCAGCTCCGCCTGAAGTGTGGGAGCAGCTGCCTGGATGCGGTGCAGCCACGGCGTCTGCGCCCGTACGCACTGCTCGCATCCGCAGGCCGACTCCGTCTCGGATCTCTCGGGCTCGGCGGAGCGCAGCGCCGCGCGCAGCGCTGCCCGCTGCCGGCGCCGGGCCTCGGCGGCCGCCGCCAACAGCACGCGGCGCTCGCCGGCACACTGCTCTCGCGCCGTCCTCGACTCCTTTCTCTCCTTCTCCTTCTCCTCCTTCTCCTTCTCATCGCCCTTCTCCTTCTCATCGCCCTGCAGCTTGCCCTCCAGCAGCATGGAGATGAGGAACAAAGCACGCAGCTCGTCCTTGCACTTCAGCCCGCGGAGAGCGAGCTCCAGGCCCTCCAGGCGCTCCAGGCCCTCCAGGCCACCAGGCGCACTCTCCCTCAGGTCCCTCAGGTGCCTCAGGTGCTGCGTGCGAACCATGGATAGGAAGGCCGGAGGCAGCGGATCAGCAAGTGTCAGGACATGCTTCACAATCAACTCTCCCGAGACACGCGGGTCCGGCTCATGCAAGACCTGAAACAAGGGGCTCTCCAGGGCGTCCAACACGCGACGGTGGAGCTGAAACTGGGGTGCCGAAACTTGCAAAGACAGAGTGATCTCACTGCTTTCCCTGTCAGGAAGCAGAAATCCGAAAGACAACAGCATTTGGCTGTTGTACATGCCCTCGGAATAATTGATAAAGGCTTGCTCTCCTTTCCGCAGGTCCTGGCCTGCGGAAACTGTGACCCGATCACCTTGTAATCTGAACAAGCCAGCCGGCACGTGAGGCGAATGGTTGAACATATCCAATCCAGGCACAATGGCAAACATGCGTTTCCCGCCGCTGCTCAAGGACATGACTCGGGAGGAATAAATGCTCCAAGCCCACTGAAAGTTCTCGAAGGAGAGCGTGTGACCCTGACTCAGCTTCGCGAAATCCTCCGCCAGCTCCTCCTGCAGCCGTAGCGCGTGTGTGCGCACCTCGCTGCCTTGCAACTCCTCCAAGTCTTCCGAGCTCCAGGTGTGAGGAAGTCCCATGGACTCCAAGCTGGGAAGCGCCGCCAAGTGACTCCGACTTTCCGCGCCTTCCGCGCCTTCCGCGCCTTCCGCGCCTTCTGCGCCTTCTGCGCCTTCCGCAGCTTTGGCCAGGGCCAGGTGCACGATGATGGCCTCTTTCTCGGTGAGCGCACCGAGCTCGGGCCGCAGACACCGCGCGCGCTCCGCGGTCCAACACTTCTCCAGCGGCACCTCGAGCAGCAGCTCACCCGCTCGCACGTCTTGGGCCGCAGCAACCCCGCGCCCTTCTGAGAACTGACCCAAAGCCACACAGCTCCAAGTGGCCAGCTCCATTGCAAAAGCGCAAAAGCTCAAAGGCTCCCTCCCTTCACATGTGACCCATACTCGAACTGAATTCATTCAGCCGTGAAGGAATCAAAGCCAGACTTGTTTCCCCGGCATCAAGAACCTAAGGCCGCACAAACACATAACCCTGAATCGTCCACGCCAAATGGTCATCAAAAGCAAGAACAGGTAGAAGCTTGCTGAGATAGGCTTGTAGAAGACGCATTTGGCAGTGACACACACAAGGCAACCCAGTTGTTCCATGTCATTTTCGCCATAACGTGGGCTATAGCAACTGAAACGGTTGGGTGGTTGGCTAGCTGGTGGATGCTTGACATCGCCCGCAAGTGGCTCTCAGCCAATGTCACGTCAAGGTTGCGGGCATAGTGCGGAAGTGGTTGGCGCGAAGCCCGTCACTGAATCGCAACTTTCACGCACGTCCAGAGTCAAATGGGTCACACGATGTCACACGATCTGCTTGAGCTCCTCCGCAACGTACCTCTGCTTGACATGCTCCGGGGTTCAACTCCTTTGCAATGGCGCACCCTGATGCATCTGCCTGGCCAGTTGGATCAATCTTGGCAGCCAGTTTCTGCCTCGGCCACAATCAGGCGGACGGAGACGCGCACACACACACGCACAAAGACCCACAGACCCACAGAAACACACACTTTGGAATGACGCAGAACTGCAAGACCGAGCGACGGCAACACAAGGAAAGATTGGGCCAGCAAAGCTTGTCAGTTCAGCAGGTACGTGGTTTGAGCGCCCTCGAACCATATCACTGTGCAACAGATACGTCTCGTTGGCTGGAGACATCTGAAGCACACTCCAGCCCCCTGACTTCCCTGTATCTCAGCTTGGCGGTGAAGCCTCCATCCGTGATCTTGGATGATCCACACACACAGGCGCCGCTTTTGCGGCCCAGCAATTAATCAAGTCAGCGAATTTACGGGCTGAGGTCTTTGATCTCAAACCACTTGGACTTCACTGTCTCTGCAGGTTTGTTCAACAGTCGAACGATGGCTTCGTATCTGGGTCGCGCACGCTCATTGGTCTTAAGATCTCTGTGGACGGAGGCGATCAGGTGACCACCGTCTGTGGGTGTAGATGATGCTGAAGAACACGAGGTGTCTGGATTGTCCTCATCGGAGTGTTCGGAGATTCATGCTTCATGTGCACATCTGTGAGTTGAACGTTGGTGGTCCGATGCAGCAGGATCGGGGGTTCGAGTACTGGCTGGAGAAGTAGTGTCGGGCAGGTCGGTAGCGGCGACAGTTGTGACGCTGAGGTTCGGGTCATCGGTGGGATGGCAAGGTGTGCTGGAAGTGGACTTATCGGTGATCTGAATTTCGGGAATGAGTCGGTGGAGAGGTTGTCGGACATGTTTTGGCTTGTTTTGGAAACTGAGTGGGAAGTGGCTCCGTGCCAGCTGGTAGTGGATGCTGGTCGGAGGTGCGCTTGCAGTTCGGGATGAGAGTAGTGGAAGTGGTAGGATGCTCCGGTGGAGTGACAATGCCGTCGTGAATGGGGGGTTGCCGGGCATTGCGTTGGATCCTGTGGATGTCACGCCCAAGGAGGTGTCCAGTAACTCGAGCGCTACGGAGAGCATGTCCCGGGTCTGGGTCAAGAGGTCGCGTAGTCCCGCTAAACAGCTTTGGTACGCATGCAAACGATCAACTGAAGCGCAGGGAAGCAAGTCTCACACAACTGTTTCCGGTTTTTTTCCGAAAGGTGTGTGTCTGCGTGGAGCGTGCCCGGGAAGGTCAAAAGGAGCCTGCGTCTGTTGCCGTAGAGTGTGCAGTCGACAAAGAGCAGCGTCAGCTTCCCGGGCTGGACATGCCAGTGCCTTGGCAAGATGTTTGCGTGAGTCAAGAAGGCTGCGGATGACCATGGTAGGAGACGCCGATGCCGGATGAAGAAATTGATCGGTAGAAGTCGGGGGTTTGTGTTCAATGAACCGTTTTTCAATATTGATGCGGAAACCCAAGAAGTCTTGTTCCGGCTTGTCGGCGAGCGAGATGGTGTCAATGTAGAAGCCGTCGTTCAGGAAGATGCGGAAAGGGGGTTGTGGTGGCGAGTAGCGCCGCAAGCATGGTGAGTCGGTTGTCCACGTGTCGACAGGATAACCAAAGCTGCTTCTTAAGGTGCTTGTTGTGGAGCAATTCAGCATAACTGTGTCTTCCACTGCGGCTACGGCAAGTAGGCACAAGCCGGACTGGCTGGGTTGCCCATAGGTATAGGTATCATGAAATACCGCAGTTATAAAACTGCCCGAACGATGTCGGGCATGTCTTGTGTTCATGAGGGTCGTCGGCCACGGAAGAGGCGAAGATGTTGTTCGGTTTCCGCCACATTGACCGAGAACCATGCGGAGCGATCTGGGTTGCAGGTTAGGCACCGGTCGTACAGTGCGAGCCATGCTGACTGGAAACGGTGGTCGTCAGTGATGGGTGTGAAGAATCCTTCTAAGTCCTGGTTGTAGAGGCAAAGTGGGCAGTATCGGAGTTCAGCTTCAAAAAAGTGTTTGATCATGGTGATCAACTGCCGGACGTCGTGATGTTGGAACGCGACGGCCACGAGTTGGTGGATGAGGCATGCTGTAGCTGTGAACAACTTCCTGGCAAAGCATTGAGCAAAGGAAATAGTCGGCCGGCCCGCGGTGAACTGCTTTTCGTCTTGGGGAGGATGTAGGCCGTTGGTACTTTTCCATATTGTCTGTTTGCCCAGAGATATCTTTCCATTGTGCGGCGAATGTTGTGGACTTTGTCATCGTGGTATTGTTAGTAAGGGGTTGCTGTCAAGCTCCTTGAAGACGTTGGAGTTGCGCCACGTGTTTAAACCATGAGACGAGGCGCTGCGTGATCTTCTGATTGCCATATCATCCCTTGTGTCTGGCGTGGAGAGCGTCAACAAAATTTGGGATTCCACTTCGGGGCAGCAGCGCGTGGCCGAGCGGTCGGGAAGGTCTCTCAGGTTCGTTGTCAAGGCCGGGTTCGCCGGTGTTGGTCTTGTCAGCGGCGGTGGGAATGGCCTTGGGGGGATGAACTGTCGGGTTTTTGCAGTAGTGTGTGACGAAGTTCCAGGAGTGGTTTTCGTCAGGAGGCCCCGTACGGAAGGAGGTGGGTTGTCAGCGGTGGTGTTGTTTTGGTCGCGGTCATGATGTGGATCAGGCACTTGACGAGGGCTTTCATGCATCCGACTCGATCGAATGCTCCGCCATCTGCACTTGCAGCATTAGCGGCAATGCCATCCAGGTGGAGTTTTCGTGCACGAATGGAGGAGCTGAGTTCTGCAAGAAGTGCGGCTTCTGCCATGTCTCGGGCGCACACCAAATGTACTGGCTGACCATGTGAGATTCGTCTGCGCCGGTTGACGATTGGGATTTGTTCTGTGGGAAGGTTTGATGTTCCTGGCTGTGGTACTGACGTGCCTGGGAAGGTTAAGGCACACAGTGCTGTTGCATCGAAGTGCGTGTTGGGTGTATTTGAGTCGTGGTGTTGATGAGCCGGTGAAGTAGTTGCAGGAGACCACGTCCGGGGTGGTAGGCGGGTGAGGGCGATGATGGTGGAACGGGCATCTGGCGCCCATGCCGGCGTGGGTGGTGGGAAGGTGGTGACGGTGTCCATCTTGCCTCCATGATTGGAGTTGGGCGGCGCAGTAGTCCCGGCACTCAAGCCCATGTGTGGTCGAGAAGGCCCGCCCGTGTTGATCCACAGGATCGTGCCATCGTTGGTCGCCGAAGTAGTAAGTGATGGTGTCCGAAGTCCGCCATCCCGAGTATCCGAATTGGCCAGATGTGATCGCTTGAGGCTGCAACACGAAGGCAAACAGGTCAACGGAAAAGACAACGGTGGTCGCGGGAAGGGATTCTGCCTGCAAGAATTCCAACCAGATCAGGGTGAGACAATGGAAAGTGAAACATCGACGTTTTCCGGGAATCCAATCGAACAAGGGCAAACCAGCGGCTGTGAAACGGAAGTGAGACGCAATTAGCAGCGGTAGCTTGCAGCGGTGGAGGGCCCAGTAGTACCGTTGAGTGGTTAAACTTCTGGGTGAAATCCACACGTGCCAGCCTAAGACGCCGCCGTTGGCGTTCTATGGAATATGGCCTGAGTAGGACGGAAAGTCGTCGCTGCCCCACGTAGTCGGTCTTTCAATATCCCTGCAGCTCCAGATCGTGTCGCGCCGTGAGCCCGACAGTAGTGGTAATGCGCCACACCGTCGAACGGGCGTGCGTCGCGGGAGTGCAAGAGGATGCCCGTCATGCGCATGGCGCCCTGGCTGTAGACCCGCGCGAAGATGTCCTCGGAGTGGAAGCCTCCCCCTCACCTCAGCGAATGGAGCCAAGCCATTCAGGCCGCCCACGCAGGACCGCAGCCGAATAAGGACTGGACTTTGGTGGAGATGCCGGCGACCGCTCAGATAGAATCAGAAACTTGGACGCACTCCCAGCAACTACGCTTGGAGAACATGCTCGAGATGCAAGTTTTGGTAAACGCGATCTTGGGTCGATTCAAGGGGCGCGTGTGGGTTTTGGCGCCGGCTGAGGGGGAGCTTTGGAATAGGTAGGCACGCCAGTGTGAGGGGCGGCGCAAGTGTCTGGCCATGTTGTCTGGGGGCACGGTGTAGTTGAGAGCGATGCGCTGCCTGCTGTCGGCGATCGTGATCACCCTGGGCATGTGGGGTTGCTGTAGGTCGGGGCCATGCGTGTGTCTGGGTCCAGGAGTTTGATCAGGGGGTGGACGGCGAGACTCCTGGTGTCTGCAAATGACCAGAAGTTACCGGGGTTACGATGATGCAATTGTCGGGGTTTTCGAGGCGGTTCGTCAGGAACACGTCGCCAAGAATCACGTCGCCGCGATCACGGCGGTCGCGTCCGCGGGAGCGCGAAGCGTGATCCCGTCGTCAATCATGGCTTCGGAGGTCCGTCTGGATTTCGGAGCAGGACGCAGAGCAATGTCTGGGCAAAGAGCGGCTTCGTGAAATAGATGGGCTCCTGCGCGAAGCTGCCGTGGTGGGTGCAGGTGGGGAGTGGCAAGTACTTGGAGCGGTGGTGGTGGGAGAGAAGGATGGATGGTGGGTGTCAGGTTGTCGCGGCATGTGTGGCCAATCCCTGGTAGTCAAAATTCTGAGTAGTTGTCAGTTGTTGAGGAGGCCGGACACCCTGAAAGTTGCTGCAATCCGAAGTCAGCTGCTGAAGTGGCTCCAGGAAAGATGTAAGAGGTGGTCACCGAATCCACTTGCTGACGATGGCGAGAGTGCATGGTGTCGAGATTCACAGTCGCAGATCACTTGCCTTGTAGGAAACAACGTGGGAACACTAACCAAACCTGAAAACCTCGAGCCGCAGCCTATTAAACGTCACGGGGACACGACACGGGTTTGAACGTTGAATCTGAATGAACAGAAGGCGTTGAATGGAGGTTCAGGTGAAACGTAAAGGCCTGTTACTTGGGAGGGGTGGCCTCACGGGTCCAGCACCAACAGGTGCCCTGAACGAGAATGTTCTGCGGGCGTGGTGACCCGTCTAACTCGGCGCCATCTCGGATGGCCGAGCGACACACACTTTGGAATGACGTAGAATTGCAAGCCGAGCTCAATTCGGAGAAACAACGGCAACAGCAACATTACACAAGGAAAGATTGGGTCAGCAAAGCTTGTCACTTCAGGGCAGGCGGTTTGAGCGTCCTCGAACCATACTGTGCAACAGATGCCTCTTCGTTGGAGACATCTGAAGCGCACTCCAGCCCCCTGACTTCCCAAAATCTCAGCTCGGTGAAGCCTTCCATCCGTGATCTAGGATGATCCACACACACACGCGCACACACGCGCACACACGCGCATGACGGCAAAACGGTGACATGTCAAAGACGCGATCATCTGACGACCCTCGGGGGGCCCTGGGTGGGCTTCCTGGAAGTGGCCTCCATGGCACCCGCCCCAGAATTCTGAGCGTTTTCAAGCTCCCAGCAAAAACCTGGGGTCAAGGCGCTGGGGATAGTCATGGTTCCACTTGCAGGGAACCAAGCCCTGTATTGGTTCCAGCAGGTACGGTCAAACTGGATGGGTCTTCTTTGGCCCGCACGCACACACGCACATACAGCGACACACACACACACACTCACATGCAGGGACATTCACACACGCACAAACACAAATACACACACACACACACGCATGCACGTTCTAGGTGCATTTGAGTCTTTGTTTTTGCAAGGATTCGATTCGGTTCGCTGGGTGGGCCGACTTGTCCGGAGGCAAAGACCGCAACATCCAAGCGCAGCCGGGGCTGAGATCAAAGTCATTGATCAGCGCCTGAGTTCGGGCGCAACTTGCAGATTGGCAAAGCAAAAACAGAGGCCTGGCAAGCGTGGCATATCGTGTAGACATGCGAGGTGAAACAGGCGAACTATGGTGTGTTGGAATCGGAATATTGCTCAAACTGAATCGAAAGGGCACCGTGCATGCGCGGCCTCAATTGCGGCTTTGGCCGACTGCTTCACTGGCCGCATCCTCGGGAAACTTGTACTGACCACTGGACGTGTTCGCTCTGAGCTCGCTCTCTGAGCTCGCTGGCCCAGGGACACCTCAAGGCGTGACGCGGGACGGCACGTGGTGCAGGTCCGGCCTCGCAACTGACCTGCGCGATCAGCTTCAATAGCCTCGGGCGATGGACACATCACATCCTTCAAAGCAAGCGGCGCATGCCGGGCGCCTGCTTCATACGACTCAGCAAGGAGGACGTTGGACTCCTGCCACAAATCGAGCAACTCAAAACACGACTTAGTTAGTTGCTCAAGCTTGGAACTGACATTCGGGACTCACATCTGCCTGGCATCCAAAGGCCCACGGCGCATGACCTCCTGCTGCAGATGCGGCGGCATGGCTCGAAGCCGGTCAGCCACCTCACGGAGTCTTCGACTGGAGACTTTCGCAGGGGCTATGGACCATGCGACGCCATGTTTCTGTCAGCGTACTTTGTGTCTTGTTTCTTTCTCCTTTTCTCCCGCGATTCGTGAGCAGAGCGGGTTGCGAAACCTGGCATCGGCCAGCTAGGCGGTCAGGCAACATCCGCGTGACTCAGTCGACGTCACTGCCCACATCTGTGCCTCAGTTCGACCCAATAAATGAATTTGAACAGAATAGTTCGCTTAGGACCAAAGGGCCGAAGGACTCGCTTGGACTGGTGACTGCGACCGGGCCTAGCCATTCGAGACTGGGGCGAAGACTTGGCGTGACCTTCTCCAGGTCTTTCAGGTCTTTCAGGTCTTTCAGGTCTTTGGCCTCCTGTGCACTCTCTCGAAGTCTCAGTCTCAGTCTCACATCTGAGCTGAAAAAGCCTCCCGCCTGCGGGCAAACAGGGCAGCTCAAGACCTCCTCGGGCACTTCCGCCAAGCGCCTCACTGAAGCAAAAGCTGGACTCTGGGCGTGAAACAGTTTGTGACGCACCTGGCCACAGCCAAAGGATCCCCCCAGGCCGCAAAAAGCGCCAAGTCAGGCCTTGGCCCGAATCCGAACTCAGTCGGCATAGACTAAGACTAAGATCCCGTCTCTCCCAGCAGCTGTCTCAAGGCCACGCCGTTTTCGTCCTCAGGCGAGCACAGAATCAACGGGCATTTCAGGCTGCAAGTCCTTGGTAAGAGCATGCATCTGTGCAGTCATCCCGCAATACCTCAGCAAACTCAGCAAAGCAGCGGCTTGATGCAAACAGGGACGAACTGCAAGCCTGTCTGGCGCCCGTGGATCTGCACGTGCGGCCAGCAGGTGTCGGCAGCAATCCAAGTGCCTCAACTAAAGCAGAGGGCACATCTTTGAATCTGTGTGTGGCGTCAAGCAGTGTGCAGCTGCCAGCTTGCCACCTTGCAAATTGGGTGCTCCGGCGCACCAGCAGCTGCGACGTGCAGTGGTTGCAAACCGTCCACGTCAACCTGCGGCCAATGAGACACGCCCCTATCAAGTCCCTGATGATTCCTGAGCCAGCGGCAGCAGTGGGATCTGCTCGTTTTTGAAGCAGCAAATCTGAAGCTGACACCAACTTGCACATCAGCATCATCAGCGATCTACAATCTGTTCTACAATCTGTGCTGCAACGCCAGTCCTGTAACCTCCGCCAGGCCGGAGAAGCAAGCCCGATGCAACGGCCGCCAGCCCATGTGATCAGCAGCCTCGGGCCAAGCACGTGTTTTGATGTTTTCTAACACGCAGCCTACCTCGATGTTGCTGCCTGATTGGATCCTGTCACGAGAGCAGAGCAATGAGTCGACACGGCGAAGCTCGAGGCGTGAGTGTCGCGAGTGTCACAAGTTTCTCTGGGTTGGGTCGGCGATGTCCGAATTCGGTCGGGAAGTCGCGCCGGCAGGGCAGCTCTCGGGCGCCGTCTTCGTCGCCTTGGAACAGCGCCAGGAGCAGCGGGTCCCCCGCCTCAGCGAAGACCTCAGCACGTGACTTGTCGTCCGACGAGCGCCATGCGCGCCCGAGGCGCACGCCGCTTCACCCGGCGCCCCCACGGCATGGCGCTTCCGGCCCATCTCAAAACTCACTGTCACGGACTTGCAGCACTTGCATTCCACGTTCGTCCGTCACCAATTTCACGCACCGGTTTCTCTGCATGGCTGTGTCATTTCAACAGTTCTGCATGTGGAAACATGTCTTTCTGCTCCAAACGCTTGAGCACAAGCCAAAAGTCGAAAGAGATCGCCCGTTGCCACGTGCGGCGAAGGCGAGGCGAGAAGGCAGGAAGGCGTCCGAGCCAAACCCTGTTTGCAAGTGCATGCCTCCTCGTCTATGTCCACCTTCAAAAACTCCTGAACCCGAAACATTCGGCCCAAATTGCTTGGCGTAGTGTTCAAATGCATCGGCAAGCCGGGACTCCTCCACAGGCCCAGGCTTCTGCACCATGGGCATCGGCCACAATGCGCCTAGTCGAACTGTGAACTTCGAGCAAAAAATTGCTGTGAACCGAGCGAAAAACAAGACAAACGAAACTTCCCTCCCTCACCTCCTCCCCTTCCATCCCGAAACGCTCGCAGGGCGGGCAGCCTGGCGCACGCTCGCTGGACTCGCTGCTGGAATAGCCTCGGGTCCCGGATCTTGCAACCCGTTGCCGATTGCCAAGTGCCAAAAACTTAGACTGTGCGTTGCAAAACCCGGGGAGAGCCAGCATTAGTTGATCTTCCGAATTTCAGGCCCGCACTGCCGCTGCTGGAAGCGCCTGGGCGTCGGGATCGGGAGCTTGGCCACCTGGAGATCAAAGTCGCGAAATGCAAATTCCAACTTTGCAACTCGAGCCCAAATGAGTTCTGGAAATTGCTCAAGCTCTCTCCATCTCGCTTCTTGCGGCCTGCTTTGATTCGGCACGGTGCGTCCCTCTCGCCCATCTGTCCACTTTGTTTGCAAGTTCTACCGAGTCAAAAGCCGTGGTCCAATTGTTTGTGCGTGCGACGATCCACCAGCGCGTGCAAAGGACAACTGCTGAATTGAGAACGGTTTCTGGCTGGCTCGACAAGCACTGGATGCAAAATTCCAGAGTGCGACTCCCAGTGTTGATCCCTCACGATTTGAGCTTGTGCTCTCACTGCCGCAATCCTAGCATCTTGTGTTTCTTCTGTTTCTTGCACGACCTCCTGGCGCTGTCAGGTAGACCTCCTGAATCCTGAGCTGCCACAGCCTTCAAGAGATCCTGGAACATCCTTGCCGCGTCCCCCGTCGCACGGCATCGACATCAAGTCTCGGCAGTGCTTGCATTGCGCAAATGATAAGCAGTTTGGAGGCATTCCCAAAAGGAGCTTCTTCCGTAGTTGTCTTCAGCGCAAGCTGTTGTCAAGGAAGGAAGCAGCTTTGCACGTGCAAGGCATATGTCTTTTTTGAGGGTACCTTTTTCGTGGTTTTGAAGGGAAACCAATATGGCCGCGTCTAACGCATGGGGCCATGGAGCACCAAATTCTTGCTTGCTGCACCCATTTGACTCTTGCCCAACTGCTTGCAATCCTCACCGAAAGGCGGGTTGCAATCTTCTGACGCGATGTTTGTCTGTTCCGGCTCTGCAAAAAGACAATTTGGATTGCACCTTGAGTGCACTTTTCCAGCTGGGCAACACCGACATGCTACGGGGCGGTGCGTTGCTGATGGTTTAAACTGGGTCCAGCGCTGCATCATGCCAGGCATGGCGGATCTCATGTGCATCATGTGAGGCCTGGCCCAATTTGACACTGGCTCTTGCTACCTTGCTGAAGACAGTGCCCGACATCATCCCCATCTGCATCATGGCCTCGGTCTGAGACAGCTCTGTGCTCCACGCACCGTTAAGAGCCCAGCCATGTAGTTTGGGTGCATAAGACCCATCGCCTGTCGCATTGCAGGCTCATAGGACTCATAGGACTCATAGGACTCATGTGACTCATGTGAATCAACACATTGCCTTTTTCGCGCTGGATCACAGGTGCAATTCGTCCAGGTCGCAATCACTGCTGCACTCAACAGCGGCACCTGGTAGCAGATTTCCCATCAGGCGCTGCCTGAGCCCAACAGCCGCTATGCGCCAAGGAAACAAGAGAACTCAGCACCACAAGCACCCAATATGACGCTGGTGCTTTTGCAACACGCAAGCGCACTGCCATGCTAATCATGTTATGTTTTCTTTGATTGAATTATCACTTTAGGACTTTGGGGGTCTGTGCTTCAAGCTGGGGCGCTCGTGGACAACGTCCCGGAGTGGACCAGTAGGTCGAGCAATCTGACCCATAAAGCTCTCTGTTGAATTGTAGATCAAGGTTCCAGAGCGACCACGCACCACGTGTCTCCAATCCTGTCCATAGACTTTGCTCAAATACTTCTCTGCTTCGCCTCTGCCAGGAGCCCAAACGGCTGCCTCTCCAAACGACATGCGAACGCGACGGTCCTCCGGACCAGAATGAATGCCCTGCAAAGGAAAGCTGTGAGCATACTGCAAGTCTGTCCGATGGATGTAGTGCCATTCTTGTCCATTTGAGGTTGGCATCACGTCTGCGAGGTGAGCATCAATGTAGGGCAGGTAGCAAGCCAAGCCGCCGTGCACGCTGCGAGTGTCTGCCGCAGCAGGCGCCTGAGCCAAGCAGAAGCGGTACTGAAAATAGATCGGCATATGGTAGGAAATGACACCAGCAGCTGCCAAGGCGGCTTTGAATGCGGGAGAGATTAGCCTGTGAGCATCTGGGCGCCAAAGAGCGATGTCAACATCGCAATCTTGCGGCAGCATCCCAGCGTTTCGAATGGTGCCCAGCAGCGCACCAGAAGACATCCACCACCTGATTCCGAACTCATCCAAGAGGCCACCGACCGCCTGGACCAAGAAATACACTGCCCGAGCTCCCTCGGGTGTAAGCCGTTGTGCTGGCGGCCAGTGCTCAAGCTTGTCGCAAAGCTTGGCCAAGGTGGGCGGCGGCGGCTGGTTGGGCACTCTGAAGACGCTTGGTGTTCCCTGGCCCAAAACCCGTGAGACGGAGTGTGGCAGTCCGGCGAGCTGAGCGAGCAGAAGCCACACGGGGAAGTCCTGGGCTAGGGAGCAGCTGAGCCGCACTTGGAGCTCGCTCTGCTCGTTGTAAACGACCTCTACTTGCAAAACCTCCGCTTGGGCCGTGCGCACCAGCTCCGCCACGTCCGCAGCCGAATCGGATCGTTCGGCTTCGAAGAGCGCCTCCGCCAGCCGTGCGAAGGCGGCGGCTTGGTGGCACCACACCCCGCAGGCCGTGTGGGACGTCAGGGCCAGCTCCGCCCACCGCCGGTGCGGCCACCGCGCAGCCGCCCGCCTCAGCCGATGCCGCGGAGAACCGCGCCTGGCGCGGGAGGCGCGGGAGGCGCGGGAGGCGCGGAAGGCGCACGGAGGAGGCCCGGGGCCTCCCAGAAAGCGGCGCGCGCAGGCGCGGTAGTCGAAGCCCGTCAGGACGTGAAACTGCTTGAAGACCGTCGCCTGAAGGGCGAACGGGTGCGGATTGATTTTGGGATTGCTTTTCGTTTTGGTTTGGTCGGGTCTCGTCCCGGGAAGTAAAGTGCCGTATTTTACAGGATTCTCTCACGAAATGCATGTATTTTACACTGGCTCGTCAACATCCTTAGGTTGGTTCAACATCCCCAAATTCTCACTCCAACACCCCTAGCATCGCCGGCCAGTCGTGGCTTTAGGCGGCAGCCCGTTCGAAAAAACTAAGGGTGCCTTGATCCCATGATGTTCGGTATAAATATATATACATACATACATGCGTTACATACATACATACATAAACATACGTACATACATACATACATACATACGTACGTACGTACGTACGTACGTACACACATACAAACATACGTACATTCATTACACTACACTACATTACATGACATCACATTCCATTACATTACATACATTACACACATACATACATACATGCACGCATACATACACACACTAAGTACATACATACATACATGCATACATACATACATACGTTACATACGTTACACACAGACATGCATACATGCATACATACAGCATGACATTACATTACACACACATCCAAAAATACATACATACATACATAAAGACTTTACACACATTACATACACTACATACATATATACATATACATGTACGTACATACATATATACAGGCATTACATACATGCATACATACATACATGCATGCATACACACACACATACTTAAACTACATACATTACTCACATTACATACATTACGTACATTACATACATTGCATAACTTACATACACTACATACATACATACATACATGCGTGCATACATACATACATGCATACACACAGTACATACATACATGCATACATGCATTACATTACATGACAGTACATTACATTACATCACATTACACATACATACATACATACATACATGAATACCTGCATACATACATACATGCATACATACACTACATACCTGCATGCATACATACATTACATACACTACATACATACATACATACATACACACATACATACATACATACATACATACACACATACACACATACATACATACATACAGTACATTACAAGACATTACATTACATTACATTTCGTTACATACTTACATACATGCATACATTACATACACTACATGCATTACATTACATTACATTACATTACATTACATTACATTACGTACATTGCAATACAACACATACACTACATACAAACATACATACATAAATACATAATACATAAATACATAAATACGTACACACTTACATACATACATACATGCGTCATGCATACAGACATACATACTTACATTACACACATTGCATACATTACACACATTACATACATTACATACATTCGATACACTTCATACATTACATACATTAGATACACTACATACATTACAAACACTAGATACACTAGATACGTTAGACACACTACATACAGTACATACACTAGATACACTACATACATTGGACACACTACATACATTACATACATTAGATACACTACATTGTTAAACTTGGAGCAACTGTGTAACCTTGATGCCTGAAGTGTAAACCTGTGATTGAAGCGAAGAGCTGTTACATTTGCTGTGGACAATGATGTATCCAACTACTCCAGCTGTGCTAAGGCTTAGGGCCTTGATTGTACAAAGCAGCATTCCAGGTGTATTGAGACGCATGTATCTTAACGCGCCTCCTCAGGATAATGTGTCTCATGTACATTCTCCTGAACTGTTGAAAAAGGTGATGTAGCTGCTGTACACGGAATGTGTGCTAGGCAGTACAAATCTTTTGCGGTTCGTGGTGTCAAAAGCAAGTGTCAAACAGCTGCTGTTTCAAGCAGATGTTGTATCAAGCTATTCGACTGTGCCACTCAAGTGCGGAAGATGTATCGCCTCAAACTTGCTGTTATATGGATGTTCACACATTCCTCGGCCTCTTCGCAGTCGATGTAACCGCGCCCGTGGTTGCTGCCTGTGATGAGCTCCTGTACTTGTTCATCTTGCTGATGTATTCAGGGTAAAATTCCTGATTCTGCATGTAGCACCAGGTGTGGTGATCCTGGTGCCCCCTGACGCGCTTGATGTCTTTGATTGCCTGCGCATGTACCGACGCATTGCCTGATGTCTGCAGGTGGTGAAGTACCGCATTGTGATGCTCTGCGCTGATGTACTTGAGGATCTGTAGGCCCAAGTACTCCATCACCTGTGTCATTGCAGCGTGGATTGTGTCATCATCTGTTGCAGTTTGTAGGTCACTCAGGTTGATGAGGGCGTTGTAGTCCCTAGCGAAGCCGTTGGTCCATGAGAATCTCTTGAAGATGTCCAGGATGTCGTGATGGCAGATTTCCCAAATGTGTACCGACTGCTGTGCGAACTCATCGTACTGCCACTTCTTGTTGTAGTGGTGCTGGAGATGGAGGATCTGGTATCCTCTGTTGAATGTACTCACCTGGTTCTTGCCAAACCTGGCAATCATGTGCCTGGTGTTCGGCTGAAAGCCGATGATGCGCAGCTTGTCCAACTGTGCGGATGCGATCTTGCGCTCGCTGAAAGGTAAAGCAATGTTGTAAGGGAGTCAAACGGGCAGGTGTTGTAGATCATGTGCTCCCAAAATGGCTTCCTCATGTTGGCCTGTAGCCCAGTGTAATCGCCACTCAAACTGACGCACTCCTCTGCGGTCAAAGCGATGTGCAAAACGTTGTTTGTGCCAGCAGTCTTGTTGATGTGCCACTCCCTGATGTCGTGCGCCTCCTTGCCGTTGACACACCTGATGTTGTAAAATCCCACTGCGTGTCGTAACGCTTTCCGGTGTGCTCATCTGATGTAGCAAGAGCGGTCAAGGCCTGCATGTCCATGGTCCGATGTGCCAGAAAGAATGTGTCTCACTGACGTAAAAGGTAAACGTCTGCGGAATGTGACAAATCAATGTCCGACATGTGTCATGCAGAAAACGATTGTAAGAAGGGGGTTGTGTCCCTCCCAGAAAAGATGTACCATGGTTCCGGATTTCCTAGGTAAAACTAAGTTGTAGCGCTGTCAGGTTGTAAAAGAAGGGTAGCCTGCGCAACCCATGTTTAACATGTGGAACTGACTGTGTTGGCCTCACAGGCCGACTGTGTACAAGTGCTTGCTGAGGGTGTCACAGCTGACACATTTAGTCAGTATGTCAGCTGGGTTTTCTTCGGATCTTACTTTGTGCGTTGTGATGATTTTGCTCTTGACAAGTTGTTGTGTGAAGGGGTGTCGCAGCTCGACGTGCCTTGCTTTCTTCGCTGTACCTTCTCTCATTGCTACTGATGTTGCTGCGCTGCTGATTGTGTGTCCGCCGACATTGCTCGGCGTGTCGGACACCTGAGAGAGGA